TAAAAAATGCTACGAAGTTCAGATATTTACCACTGAAGCTGCGAATTCAGGTATCTGTGTTTGTTTTTGCCTGGCATATGGTTATTTTTTCATTGGAAGCGATCTCACTTTAAGATGCCATGAGATACTAAATATGACCATCTCTTTTAACGAAAATTCAAATCTGAGGAAGGGATTAACTAGACCTTCTGATATTAGAACGATTAATTCTTCTACTTTGTTGGTGTAAATGGTCCATTTGGTGATGAAGAGTTCAGAAAGCATTATTGCTCCAAGAAAGTTGAAAGAGAACACCTACTGATATGTTGCTCTTCTGCATAAACAAACACACGCCATGTTCCTGCACAGGCTATTCCCATTATATATATGTCCGTGGAGAATAACCTGATAAGGTCACTTGGATAAAACATGACTGATTAAATAATTTCAAATTTTCAAATACGTTTAGTTAAGATTATACTCCTCCGGTCCTAAATATATCCTTGTACACATAGTCTAAGGGGATGATATTGAACCTTGGTATGTAGTAAACTTAAATTGACCATGTGAAAATATAATACTCATAAAACAGTATAACCTTATATATAAGGTTTTATATTTATGATCAGAATGATTAAATCAAATGGTTATCAATGATGCAAAATCTTGCTTAATGTTTTTCTTAAAAAATTGTTTATTTCGATAAATAAATGACAACAAATTAATAAACCGTCAAAATAATCAAATCAAACTATTAAGAAGTTACGTCACATAGAAATAGAAATTTTGAATCTAAAAGAAAATTCGGCCCTTGCGGTCGTTGTGTTCACAGTCAACCCATTGCACCAAAAATTTCATAATTAAATAAATAAAATTTCTGTAAATAAATATATAAAGGTCGCTTTTTAAGCGAATTCAAATCCCAGCCGTCCACGGTGGCGCCAAACACACACATTCTCTCGTATTCCGTAACCGGAGCAGCATGTTCCTGCACAGGCTCCCTATTCTCGTGGAGAAAGCTGTAACTCTACTTCCTCAGCCTCATAGTCTTACTCGTTCCCGTTCCCAAACACGCCGCCTTTTCTCCCCTCCTTCACTCTTTCCCAGTTTTCAGAGTCGCAGGACCGCACTTCGTTCTCGAGATGCGGCTGTTGTTTCGGGGTCAGTGGGGGAGCCGGAGCCGTTGCCGCCGGAGCTGCTATGGGATCTGATGCCAAAGCATGTGGGCGGTGAGCATGGACGGAAATAGGAGATGGGCTAAGATGCGAGGGTTGCCGAGCTCGGCGGGTCACGAGGCCGGCGTAAAATCGATGATGACGATGATCGATCTGTGTTGTAGTTGGGGGATTAAGGTTCTGACTCTTCTCTGGTTTTCTCGCGATAATTGGAAACGCACGAAGGCTAGCTTTTCATAGCATCAATACTACCTCCGGTCCTATAAGATCCCGTTTACAATCTACCAACGAAGTCTTATAATTGTGTATTCTTCTCGGTTTTGATCATCTCCTGATCCTTTCTTTCCTTTTATATTGAAATTGGATTGTGACATAGGTGGATGTTGACTTTTTGATGCAGCTTTTTGAGAGTACCATAAACACCCTAATTGAAACTGGCAACAGGTGATCAACGCACTCCACTGCATGTGTTAAACATCTACTAGCCAATAAGCTTTAAAATTATAACTTCATCTCAATATCAATCAATCAGATTTCCTTAAAACGCTCGACTCCTATCCTTATCATAGAAACTTTCAACATGTTTCATAATATGCCAATTGCTTTATAGCCTAACAGTACAAAACTCTTGGATCTTTTTTGGTGCATGTATATTAGAGGGAAGGCATAAAAATATCGGTGATTGGAGACACATCAAAGCTCTCAGTGTCTTTGCAAAAAATGATAAGCAACGCAGAGGAGAGGACGAAGCAAAACTGTGGGCTGCAACTAATCATAGCGGTTAGCTACAGCGGCAAATACGACGTCGTGCAAGCCTGCCAGGCCTTGGCTGGGAAGATTAAAGATGGCGTTGTGGAAGTAGAAGACATTAATGAAAGCTTGATCGAGCAGGAACTGGAAACCAAGTGTAGCGAGTTTCCAAATCCAGACCTAATGATTCGAACCAGTAGAGAACTCAGATTGAGGCTCTGTTTGGGTAGCACCCCAAACCATGGTTTGGGGAAAATGCTACCCAAACAGCATCCCAAATATTTAAAACCATGGTTTGGGGGAAACCATGGTTTTGAACCCCCAAACCATGGTTTCATCAGAAGCTATTTTCGTCCGCTTCTGGCTCTAATTATTGAAGGCTGATGGTGGGCCCTCCTCACATGACCGAACAGCCCTGGCTTCAATTATCTTCTGGCTTCAATTATCAGTCGGTCGAAACTTCAGAGCTCCTTCCATTCCAGTCGGTTGAAACTCTTCTGGTGCCTCGCTCTTTAGGTCTGAAATTCTTCTCGTCGAAGTATGTGCTTCTGGTTCACTGGTTCGTCGAGCTCGTGCCGTCGCTGGTTCTGTGGTCGAGCTGAGAAGAAGAAGGGATGAAGACGATGGTGATGAAGGGAGGTTCCCCCTCTGCCGTCGCGCAGCGTCTCCGTCTTGTGTTCGTGCTTCGGTCCCCTGTTTTTCCCAGCCGCCGTCCCGCGTGTGTGTGTGTTTCGTTCTCTGCTCGTTCGGCGTGTTCTCCCTCAGCCCGCTCCGCCTCGTGTTCAACTTCTCCGCCAAGATGAAGATTAGTATATTAGGTTGGGGGTGGTGCGCACCGTTTTGCTCCCTTTTGTTTTAATTAATTAATTAATTACTCTAAAAATATATATATTTCACGTTTAAAATCTTTAAAGAAAATTAATTAATTATCTGTTAGCCAAAAAAAAAAATTCATTTTTCTATAAACATATTTAATATTATGTTTTATAAATATATATACACATATTAATTATGTATTAATTATATTATGTTATATATTATTAATTATGTTACTAAAAATTTTTCATTAACAATTTTATTTCCTCAAATCAAAATATATCATAAAATCTATTCCTTATATAATTATCATATTAACTTATACCCTTTTTGGTAATTTTGACATGTAAAAGTGCTTCTAGTAATAACTATTCAAATACTCTCACTTCTCATAATCACTTTTTTTCAGAATCTATTCTCCACAAATATATTCTCCACAGAATTTATTCTTCAGAATCACTTTTCCAAACCACGGTTTGGTTTCATCCAAACACACACCCTGAGTAACTTCATGTTGTGGCAACTTGCCTTCACAGAACTTGTGTGTGATCCTCATCTCTGGCCAGATTTTGGCAAGAAGCAATTTGTTGAAGCCTTGGCTGCGTTTCAGCAAAGACAAAGACGCTTTGGCTGGTAACACTCATCAAATAATTACTCTCTTGGCTCCTTAATATAGAAGTTGGACACCTAGTTTGTAGATATTCAAAAAATTAGTTAAATTAATTATATGTAATAATTAGATGTTGGTTTTCTTAGAATAATTTTTCTAAATGTGTTATTGTTACAACCCATTAATGAAAACCTTATCATATGTAAATTATAAATTTAAAAGACAAATTGGATTAATATCTCATATTAAGGATCAATACAAACTTATTACTTAGATTGTTTACTTAAAACCAGAGGTAGTAAGTTGATTTGGTGTCACCCACAAGAATAACATTGAAAAGTAAGCTCAGGACTACTCCATTTAAAATGTCTCTTTGAAAAGTCATGGTATTTATTGATTGTTTCAATATTAATCAGTTAGAATTTTTATAGAAGCAAATACTCAATGGAATGACTTACTAGCATCATCATATATAGATAACTTCTGAATGTCATCACTCTTTCAATTTAACTCTATATTTTACGAATTATCTGTCATTAAAAAGCGTTAAATATCTAGTTTCCAATTAAAAGATTTCACCTAAAAATTAATATCTCATTATCCAACTTCATATAATCATAACTTCTTTCATTTTAACTCCATTTTGAGCTAATAAAATATCTCTAAAAAGTAATTTGAGAGTATTTTTAAACGAAAAGGTTTAATATCAAAATGATTTATAATTTATGAAATATTATAAAATATGAAAGTATCAGCTTGCAAGGCAACTATCACTGAATTATTTAAATATTGTTTGAAAGTGAGAAGAATAACAAATATTTTAAAAAAATTAAGGAACCTTTGCATGATTGATGATAGCTATATATCATATTAACTAGACAATTTAAGTTGATTAGGCAACCTCTAAGATATTTAACTAACCAGGTTTCGTTAAATGACGACACATCAATAAATTGTCTAAATAATCAAATTAAACTATTAAGAAGTTTTTTTTAATAAAAAAGCTAAGAACAAAACATATGTTGGACCTAGTCGAAGGTGTTTTTAGCGGCTTAAAAATGAGGTCTCATTCAAATTCGAGTGTTTACACAGAACATTTTTAAGAAAATCAATTAGACTGAAGATACTTGAATTTGACCTGATTAGATTGTCAAATAAAAAACTTGAAAGTCAATACTACCTCAAGGTAGTATATAAATTAAAACTGAGCAGACTAAAATTAGTTCCGTAATTGATATAGGAGTTTGTTTAACTTTTATATTAGTCTTAAATATAATACTATAATCTTTTTTTTCTCGTATTTATTTATTTATTTTCAAGATAGTGATTATAATAATGGTAGTTTCAATCAATATATTTAATTAACAAAGATATTAGTAAAGACAACATATATTTATTACAAATAACTATAGTGATTATAATAATGGTAGTTTCAACCAATATATTTAATTAACAAAGATATTAGTAAAAACAACATATATTTATTACAAATAACTAACTTAACTAATTTTTTACTATTAGGACCAGAGGTGGGAGTTTGGAACTAAGAAATTGATCCAACGAAAAAGCTGGGGGCTTTCGGAAATCTCGAGAGTCGAGAGGACATGAGTGATGAGTGAGACAGAACCACAATCAATCTGACAATAGCACATGTAAATCCTCCAAAAAGATTAAAGAACTCATCAACAATCTCATTTCACAAGAGGTGAGATGGACCACAATATACTAATAATAAATGTAAAGCCTTGTCTGCATGCTTGTCGGTTATAGCCGAGCTCGCATAGCTCAAGTTGCGCGGCGGTTGACGGCGGCAAGCAAACACGCACAGTCGCCTTCCGAAATCGGAATACCATGTTCCGCCGCAGCCTTCCTATTCTCGTGGAGAATATGCTAACTCTGTTCCCTAAGCCTCATACTCTTGCCTGTGCCCGTTCCCAAACACACCGATTCTTCCCTCCCTCATTCTTTCCAAATCTTCAGAGTCGCACGACCTTACTTCCTTCGCGAGATGTCGCTGTTGTTTCGGGATCATCGCTGGAACCGGAGCCGTTGCCGCCGGATCTGCGACCGGATCTGATGCCGAAAAACGTGGCGGTGATCATGGACGGAAACAGGAGGTGGGCCGAGATGCGGGGGTTGCCGGAGTCGGCGGGTCATGAGGCCGGCATACAGTCGATGAGAAGGATTATCGATCTGTGTTGCAGTTGGGGGATTAAGGTCCTGACGCTTTTCTGGTTTTCTTCTGATAATTGGAATCGCCCAAAGGTTAGCTAGCTTGTCATATGTAGCATTTTGATCTGTGAGCTGTAACTGTTTTCTGGGTTAATTTTATAAAATATAAAGGGAAAATTAATCTTTTGGTCCCTATAGTTTTCACTCATTTATAACTCAGTTCCTATACTTTGACTCGGTACAACTCAGTTTTTCTAGTTTTGATTTGATTGTAACTCAGTTCTTGAAGTATAACTCCCTGCCACTCGGTCCTCATAGTTTTGTCTATTTTATAATTTAGTCCTTGTGTTTTTTAAAAATAAAATTATATATCTAACAAAAGGAGGGACTAAATTATAAAATGATTAAAACTATAGGAACCGAGTTGTAGGGAGTCAAATTTTAAGGACTGAGTTACAACCGAGTCAAAACTAGAGGGACTGAGTTGTACCGAGTCAAAGTATAGGGATTGAGTTATAAATGAGTGAAAATTATAGGGACCAAAAGATTAATTTTTCCAAATAAATGATAAACTTGTTTTTCACTTGCTTGAAAGGGGAGGAAAAAAACAATGAATATCCACATTAAATGAATTTTTGAACTTATTTTAGTATGGACTGATACGGTTTATTCTACCTAACTCATGAAAAAACCAAGTAAACTGGCCACATAAAATTGATAAATAAAATTACTTAATTGATGTATATATCATGAATGCATAATTTTAATGCACTTTATATTTTTTTTGGGTGCACTATAGATTTTTTCCCCAAAAAAATGAGTGGCTTTTTTATGTTGAAAGCTGGTGTTGTGATGCAGGTGGAGGTTAATTTTTTGATGCGGCTCTTTGAAAGTACCATAAACACCTTAGTTTTTTTTTCGAATGAAAGATATTTTATTCAAATATATACAAAGGCAGTACAACGAAACGGAGCAAACAAAAGAGAGCTAACTCCTACGAAGCTTCGTCCTGAACTCTCTAGCCTGCATGGTATGATGAGTTAAGGAGAAGACTTCGTTAACAAGACGGTGGCTTCGGATTGACTCATTACAGAATAAAGTCCTGTTCCTTGCCTCCCAGAGTTTCCAACACAGAGTTCCAAAAGCTGTGCACCAAAGATGATTCGGGGATACAGATTTGAGGTTCCCCTGTAGCCACTCTTCGAATGGGGTGTTAAAGAAGCGGTGCTGGAAGGGTCCGGGAATAATTAGGCTCCAACAGCTTCTAGCCATATGACAGTCTCTTAAGATGTGGTTTATGTCTTCCGTCGCTTCGCCACATATCTCGCAGGTATCATCTTGGGTCATGTGCCTTCTCATTCGAACCTGGTTAGTCAGTAGCTTGTTCTTAAGCACGAGCCATAGAAAGGTGCGTATGCGCTGCGGTCCTGGCCATTTCCATGCGAGTTTCCAGGTGGTGCTTGCCTCATCCCAATCATCTTGTTTAAGTAACCGGTACGCTGACCTTGTAGTAAACGCACCCCTGCTGTCCATATGCCAGAAGCATTTGTCTGGTTCAGCACTGGGTCTTGGTGGGTCAATATGCGCTATTTGCTGGGTTATCTCTGAAGGAAGTAGGTGCTTGAAAGCGTTCCAGTTCCAGTCCCCTCCTTCTGTGGTGAAGCTGGCGACGGTTTCTTTTTCCTTCTCATCATCAATGGGCGTGAAGGCTAGTTGCGCTAGAGGTCCAAGGTCTCCAACCCAATGATCTGTCCAAAAGCGGGTTTCTTTACCATTGCCAATCTTCCATTTGATTCCCATATCTAGTTCCGTCCAGAGGTTTGAAAGGCTTTTCCAGAGGTACGAGGCGTTTGAAGTGGTGCGTCCTCTGTTTTTCTCCCACCCATATTTGGCTCTTAAGATTTGAACCCAGTAAAGATGTGGTTGTGTTCGAACTGCATGGGCTATTTTCATAAGAAAAGCAGAATTCTGACCCGTAAGATCGACTAATTCGCTGCCTCCGCATTCCTTTGGCTGGCACATGGTATTCCAGTTGACTAGACTTATGCCTCGCTGCTGCGCAGTAGAGCCCCAAACAAACTTTCTTATGTGACTCTGGATTCTTGCAATGGTTGAGGCTGGGATGCGGGTTGTTTGCATTGTGAAGAAGGGAATTGTGGACAGGACTGACTGGGTCAAAGTTAATCTCCCCGCCAATTGGTAGTTGCCTCCGCTGTCCTAAACCCTGAGTGATCTGGCTTTTAATTATAACTTCATTTTAATTATCAATTACTTTTAATTAACAGTTAAGAGTTACTTTTTTTCGTGAAAAACTGCAATATTCGAAAATTTTATTAGCTCAATATCATTCCAAAAATATTAAGAAAAGAGTATTATTGCCTTACCATTAAAAAAATTAATCATAAACATTAATTTTTTGACGGTGATGGTATCCATTACTCTTTTTCTAACAATAATAGCAAGGCAAAAAAACTTGTAAACTCCTACAACTTACTTTAGAAATCATGTGTTGCCATTTTATAAATTACTACACTTTCAGTCCTTAATATATAGTACTATATCAGGTTTTTAATATAAAATCTCGTTTGACTTTTATTTTGGTTCTAAATATAAAATCTCATTATATTTTTTTTCAAGATAATTCTTCTAATAATAATAGTTCTAGCCAATAATTTTATTAGCAATGATATTTAAAAAAAAACAACACCTATTTATTACAAATAACTAACTTAATTTTCCGTAATCTCATCAAATTAATCAACGAGATTTTATATTTAAAACTGGAGGTAGTACTTAATTTGAGAATTGATAGTAGTTTTACATGTAAAACTTATTTTATATATGTTTGACAGTAAAGGCATTAAAATATCAGTAACAGGGGACACATTAAAACTCCCAACCTCTCTGCAAAGAATGATAAGCAACACAGAGGAGAAGACAAAGCAAAACGGTGGAATGCAACTAATGGCAGCAATTAGCTACAGCGGCAAATACGACGTCGTGCAAGCCTGCAAAACCATAGCAGGAAAGGTCAAAGACGGCATCATGGAGGTAGAAGACATTAATGAAGGGCTGATAGAGCAAGAACTGGAAGCAAGCTGCGCCAAGTTTCCCAACCCAGACTTGATGATTCGAACCAGTGGCGAACTCAAAGTGAGCAACTTCTTGCTTTGGCAACTTGCTTACACTGAACTTGGCTTTGATGCTCATCTCTGGCCTGATTTTGGCAAGGACCAATTTGTGGAGGCCTTGTCTTTGTTTCAGCAAAGACACAGGCGCTTTCTTTGGTGGAAGACGACAATATTGATAATTTAACTATATTTATTATCATGAGAACTTGAGAAGTTGTTTGGATTAACTTATTTTAAGTTATTTTATGCTTTTGTTTATGCGAAATATCAAATTTTGGTGCCTATGAAATATTCTCCCTTTTCGTCTCTTGTCTCCACATTAAATGAATTTTTTTCCACTTGGGATTTTTTCATATTTTTAATATAAAAGCTAGTTAGATACTATTTTCGTTCTTAATTATAAGACTTCATTTATAATCTATAAATAAAATTTTAAATTAGGACCAGGCATAGTAATTAATTTTAAAATGTTAAAAAATTAATTAAATTAATTATTTGTCACAAATATGTGTTGACTTTTTAAATTGCTCTTTTTAATCTTGCGCATTAAAATTATATTCTAATATAACCCCTTGAGATAATAGGGATATTTTATGGTGGAAAATTTATACATTTAAGAGACAAAATATATTAAAGTTTTATATTTAATCAAATTTGATCACAACTACCTCTTATATATATATATATATATATATATATATATATATATAGACAAAGTAGATTAATGTTTTATATTTAGAACTAAATTTGATCACAACTAGCTCTTATATATATAAACAAAATAGATTAATGTTTTATATTTAGAACTAAATTTGATCACAACTAGCTCTTATACACACACACACACACACACACATTAAAGACTATGTCCGGTCATAATTATAAGATTTTGTTTATAGTTTATAAATGAAATCTTATAATTAAAAATAGAGGTAATAATTAATTTTGAAAATTAAGAAAATTAATTAAGTTAATTATTTGTCACAAATGTGTGCTGACTTTTTTAAATTACTCTTTTTAATCATGTGCATTGGAATTATACTTTAATATAACCCCTTGCAATAAATAGAAATGTTTTGGGGAAAAATTATATATTTAAAAGACAAAATAGATTAAGGTTTTATGGTTATAATCAAATTTGATTACAACTAGCTCTTATATATATAGACAAAGTAGATTAATATTTTATATTTAGAACTAAATTTGATCACAACTAGCTCTTTTATATATGGATAAAATATATTAATGTTTTATATTTAGAACTAAATTTGATCATAGCTAGCTTTTATATATACGTATATACACACATTAAAGACTCAAGGAAGTATTAAACTTCCTTTAAAAATCTGTTCTAATAGTAAGACATTGAGTCCTAAATTTACAAGCAAAGGAGAGAATTTGAATTCCACATATCATGAATGCAATATATTATGCTCAACAATTTAGACGATTGACTTTATGCCTGAGAGTGGAGCAGTGATTTACATACCTTTCATTACTTCGGCAGCCATCCTATACCAAACACTAATAATTACTCATCTCTAGTTTATAAGGCAATTTCAATATATTTCATACTGACTAAAAAAAATCTAAAAATGCATTAGTTTTTCTATTAAACTATAATAACTTTTTAACTTTACTCTTATTTATATATATATATCTCTTCCAAAAAAGATAGTTATCTATACTATAATAAATAAAATATAAAATAGTATATTCACGTTAAAAATTTAATAAAATGACTTATAAATAGAATAAAAACTTCTCTCTATCTTGTAAATAGTATCAGAGGAGTTTGTATCTTTATTCTTTGTCACATATATGTATTTATGGTGGTATTAATAGTGTATTCTGGAAAACGTATGGTTTAAAATCAAATATACTTTTTCTTTTTTTCTAATAAATTTTCATATTTTAAAACCTAACACCTTTAATATAAACTAGCTTTTTTCTTTAATAAAGTAGCAAAATTACAAGTTAAAAAAAGAGAAGCACATGTAACAACACGCACCTGACACTTACATATATAAGAAAGTTTGCAAGACATGACATAAAAAAAAATTCAAATACAATTATTAAATGGGAGCTTACTTGGAAGGCATGTAGGATGATTATGTGCTGACCAATGAAAAAAAAACTGGACCAGACCGGCCAATTCACTGGTTTTACTGGTCTTTGATCCAGTCTGGTTCAGAGAAAAAACCGGACACTGTTCAAACTGGGGAAAAACCGGTTCAACCAATAAGAACCGGTAAAAACCGAGTAACCCAACGGTTAAAATGGGTTGTCCAGTTTAATGATTTTAATCTTCCACTCTCAAGAATCGACATCATTTTATGTTTAAAAAAATTTTAAACACAGTGAATATTTGGAGAAAAAATTGAAAGAAAGAAGAGAAACTCTAAATCTCTCTGTTAGTCTGTCTAGAATGCTAGGACTCATCTGTGTTCGTCGCTGCTAAGCCGTGGTTGTGACATCTCACTCTTCACTTCTTGCTTCATCATCGTCATTCGCACTCCATGGTTGTCGGTGCTATCTATATCTTCATCTCAGCATTCGACTCACAACTCAACTCATGTTGTGATGGAAGATAAGGAGAAAGAGAGGGGGGAGAGAGACTGTGATTAAAGGTAAGAACGAAGAGAGAAGAGAGGGGAGGCTTGGTGAGAGAGGAGATGAGATCGGCACGCAAGTGTAGAGCATAAAACAAAAGGGATGTGGTGTGTGATTTGATAGATCCGTGTGGCAGGAGGGAAGGAGTGGGAAAAACAACAAAAAGCTGAAAACTTGAAAAAGCAAACCAAACCATGTGAATGAGGAGGGAAGATGTGAAATAAAAGTAAAAAAATAAAACAGAAAAAATTTTAATGTACGAAGAGGAGAGAGAATTAAAAGGAAAAAATTAATTAATTAATTAAATATTGCTTCTTTTTTAAAATAGGAATATTTTTACACATTTAAATTAAATTAAATTATTTTAATTATTACCGGTCTGACCCCGATCTAACCCATTAACCCTTGACCTAGTGTCTCAACCGGTTTACTGACCGGTCCGGTTTTTTGTTCCTTGGTGTTGACTAAGCTAAGTTTTATATATAAAAAAGGGTTAATTTATTAAAAGTTGAGAAAAGAGTGAGAATTGAGTTTTAACTAATTTGTGGCTGAGTCATAACCGAATCAAACTTTAAAGGATTAAAAGATTAATTCTTTTAAAAAATAAATGAATGGTTAGTTAGTGCTGTTTGGAATCACTTAAATAAACACTAATAAACACGTCTTATAAGTAAATTAAGAGGTGTTTGGATGAGTACCAAACCATAATTTTAAAAATAATTTTATAATATATTAAGTAAATATATAGAGAAGTTTACCTGGATTTGTAAAAAAAGTGCTTTTTAAAACATTTTTTTAGCTACTCAAACACGTTCTAAAATAAAGCTTTTCTCACATACTTATATTGTATTCTTTAAATTACAATTAAAAAGCTTCCTATAAGCCATTTTAAATGGGTCCTTCCTAACTCATAGTTTATCTCCTAAATTAGCCTCAGATATAACATTCTTGATTTGGTTTAATTAGTTTTAATTTTCAGCGATAATTTCTTTAATTAACCTATAATATAATCAGTCTCCTCTTCAAATTAGTTACCCACGCAGTGACGTTCCTTTTAGGCAAAGGGGTTCGAACGCGGCTGAGGTGATCCATGATCCCCACCCCTAGTCAGTCCCCATGTATAATGTGAGAATTTGGTCCCCTAGAATCTAGATTCATTAAAAGCACCTATAAATTTTATCAGCTAAAAGATATGAATTTAAACATGTGCAACTCATTTTTAACCATGTGCAATGTATTTTTAATTATGTATTAACACCACAACAAAGTAGGCCATTTACTTCGCACATTAATGACTGTTTAAGAAAACAAATGAGAATATTCAATGTTCTCCTCTGTTTTCCAAAACAAACGAGAATATGCTAATATTCTAGTCTGTTTTAATAAAACAGATGAGAATGGGCTAATATTCTCGTCTGTTTGTTCAAATGGATGAGAATATTAGAATATTCTCCTTTGTTTTTAGTAAAATAGACGAGAAGGATCCTCTGATATTTAAAAAAAAAAAAAATTGTCCCAACTCAATCCGCACCCTAGCTTCTTCTGTACTCCCCTCTCGCTGCTCTAAAACTTTGTGCTCTCAATCTTCATAATTAATATGATATTATTTTTTAATCTTTAATATAAGAACTAAATAACTAATTTGAAGAGATTAAAAAATTAATTAAGTTGCGTATTTGTCATAATGTGTGTTGAATTCCTCAAACTATTGTGGTAGCATTTTATAATTAATAAAAATATTTTTGAAAAAAAAAAGAGAAATAAATTAAATTGAAATCTTATATTTAAAATCAAATCTAACTGCACAACTATCTCTTTTATATATTAAGGATTGGAAATAGTGTAATGTAATTAAGATACATAAAAATACCCATATATAATTTTGAAAAAAGTAATTATTTAAATAAAAAAGACATTAATACATACTAAATGGAAAATCACATACTATAACTAAACCACAATCTAACTTACTGTTTTCACACAAAACAATCTGATTTCATACATAGTCAAGTGAAAAAAATATACGCTGCCGATTTATATATAATTCAATTATGCTGATTTTTCCAAAATGTTTGACTGAAGCAAACTGATTTACCGATTTACTGCTTAACAACTTGAATTGAATTTTTAACGCAGGTTAAAGATTATGCATGGCCTCCCTCTTACCGCCACGTGCTCTCCTACCTCAAAAATTCTGCCCTTTTGATGATAGTTTGTGACTTGTACCTATTGCTCATGTCCTATTTATAAAATAGAAAGAGAAGATATTTTTTACCTTATTTACAAGGTATTTAGAGAATTTTTTATATAAATGTACAATTTTACCCTCTATTTATTATTATGTTAACTTTGTTTACTTGAGATATAATATGCATTAAATAGAGTTAAAATTAAAAAGTTATTAAATTTTAAATAAAAATTAAAAAAATTTAAGGTTTTATTTTGTTCGTGTGAGACATGTAAAGAGTGATATCTAGGAGGAGTAATTTGTTGCTCCTCTAATTTCTTCTTTATATAAATCGAAGTCCCCCCAAGTCTCAGTGTCCCCCGCTGCGCCAAACACTGTCATATTCCAGACATGAATACCACGTTCCTGCACAGCCTTCCGATTCCGGTGGAGAATACTGTAACCCCGCTTCCTAATAAGCCTCGTGCTCCCACTTATGCCCGTTCCCAAACAAACACCGGTTCGTCCGTCGTTCGCTCTTTCCCGATTCCAGGAGTTGCAGGATGGCACTTCCTTCGCCGAATGTGGCTGTCGTGTCGGGATCTTCGCTGCAGCCGGAGCCGTTGCCGCCGGAGCTGCGGCAGGATCTGATGCCGAAGCACGTGGCGGTCATAATGGACGGAAACGGGAGGTGGGCCAAGATGCGGGGTTTGCCACCGTCGGCTGGTCACGAGGCCGGCGTAGAGTCGCTGAAGAGGATTATCGATCTGTGTGGCAGTTGGGGGATTGAGGTTCTGACCGTTTTCGCATTTTCTGCTGATAATTGGAAACGCCCCAAGGTAAGCGTCCATTGGTAAACTAAAGAAGTTAAATATATCACGGACGTGATTTTTAAAAAATATTATTATATATGTGACATTACATTACATATCATTTTATTAATAATAAATACAAGAAATAAAATGAATTAAGATCAAAATCACACTATCATTATTTTCTTTTAGGATTTCCGCAATTTATAAAAATTATGTCTAGGAGTACATTAAATTAAATGAAAATGAAATGAAAAGACCAAAAAAGATATCAATGTAAAAAAAAGTGACTTTTCAGTTTTCATGTTAAAATTAGTATATGTATCTTGGAAATAAAAATATGATAAAATTATTTTTATTATTGCTGAGTAATAATGATAAAAATATAATAAATATTATATGTTTTTTTTCCTTTTATGCGGTAATGTTGTGGTATTACTCTGAATTGATCATATTATTATACGACAATAAGCCATCCTATACATTTTTTTCACTTATTTTTCTCATTGTACTTATTAGGTATAGGATCAAAAATATTATTAATTATTTTATAACACCTAGGTGTTATAAAATAATTAATAATATTTTTCTGATCCTATACCTACTTGTATTTAAAATAATACTTCTTTGGTTCTATTTATATGAGAAAAGATATTTTTTGTTCTATTTATAGTATATTAAGAGAATTTTTTTATATAGATATATAATTTTATCCTTAATTTATTATTGTGCTGACTTTATTTATACGAGACCATATAAAAATATATATTTTAAATAATGATAAAATTAGAAAGTTATTGAATTTTAAATGAGAGTTAAAAAAATTTAAACTTTTCTTAATCTATATAAAATGTATTAGAAAAATTTATAAATAAGATAATTACGCACTATTGCATTGAATGTACTCCAGCAGGCGGGTGGTGGATCCACATTCCCGGGCATACCATACCGAGGTAGACCATCAATTTTCACACGCCATTGCATGTCTCTCATTCTAGGGGTGTGCATGAAGCCCAAATGCCCGCTATCCCGCCCAAGCCCGAAGAAAATTGCCCAACCCAGCCCGAAAAAGAATGGGCATCTTTGGGCTGGGCATTTCATGGGCAGGGCTGGGCATCGGGCAGGACATGCTGCCCTGCCCATTTGGCCCTGCCCAGATTATATTTTATATACATTATAATTTATAAAAATAATATTAATATATTACATTTCTTTACCCCAAAAAAAAGTTATTCCCCTCCTCTTTGCAATTTAATTTATTATGTGTTACATGTCTGTTAGTTTTCCGTCTTAGAGATCTAATTTTTCTAAACAAACAATAGTATTTTGCTTTTAACTTGTTCTTCATGAGCTTTATTGAGTACATCTTATTGTGTGTTGCTGTTGTAAAGAAGTCTTTTAGTTTATATTTATTTATATTAGTTATTTTGTATTAATTTTTTATGAACAAATCATATGATGGAAAGAAGTCTTTTAGTTGTATGGACTACTAACTGCATTGTATCACATAATAAGTTTTGCATATTAAAAGTGGTTATATTAAATATTATAAGATTTTAAGAATTTTTTTATTTATCTTTTACAATTATTTCACCATATTTTTATATGGTCTATATTATTCCTTTTAACCATTGCTTCAGTTTTAATATTTTAACAATTTTTTTTTTCCTTTAGGTAACCTTTAATTTTTGCCACTTGAATGGATAATCAAGCTTATATTACATCGTCATCTCAATCCATCAATGGAATATCTCATGTGCTTCAAACCATTCTTCAATTTTTTCAAATGTTTTATTCTTTTCTCAACTTTATGGAGATGACACAAACCGTTTGAATTCAAGGCTTTAATTATAATCTTGAGAGTTGTTTTGTTCTAAATGGATTATGAATATTATTTATTTAGATATTTGCTGAGACTTGTTTTAAATTATTTTTCTGGATAATTTCAATGTGCGAAAATGCAAAATTATGAAATGTAATTTTCAGTTATGGATGAAAGTTTTTTTACATGTGATATCGATATGTTATTACTATTTGGGCAACGAAGCCCGCCTTGCCCAGCCCGCCCATGCCCAGCCCAAAATGGTTAGGGCTTCTATGGGCAGGGCCGGGCGGGCAGCGGGCTGCACAATGCAGCCCGTTCATATTTCGGCCGGGCATCGGGCAGGGGTCCTACCCTGCCCAGCCCTGCCCATGTGTACCCCTACCCATGTCTATGGATAGAAAACCAAAAGGAAGTGACTTTTCATATAAAAGTTATTTGTATCCTGCACTAAATATGATAGGATGCTGGTCAAAAAAAAAAACTAAAATATGATAGGGATATAAATTATTGCTGAGTAATAATAATAGAATAGAAATATAATAAATGTCATATGTTTGTCTCTTTTGGCTGTATTATATTTAATAATAAAATATAATTTATTAATTTTTAAATTATGTTATCATTAAATTTTTGTATTGATGAAAGAGACTCATTCTAATATTTTTTTGTTTTGTTACAGACACTCATCTTAATTATTCACATTACAGATATTGATCTTTTGTAATAAAATTTTATGTCATGAATTATTTTAAGCAGTAATTTCATAAGTGCAGATTTATTGTTTATTATTTAATCTGGATTTAATATTGATTTATTTTTTAAATAAATAATTGAAGATCTATTCCTTTTCTTTTTCTTTTTCTTTTTTTTTTTTGCCAGAACTAGGAATTAAGAATGAACAATAATGTAAATTTCCACTACTACTTATAATTTTGAAAAGTATAACATATAATTTTACCCTTTTACCATCGTCTAATGGTATTTGTTGAAGTCATAAAAGCACTCTCAAAAATAATTATATAAATATAGAAGCCATAAGTTCAAATAAAATTTATAAATATATTGAACGGCATTTTTTTTTTTTTCTAATTGGCAGTGGAGGTTGATTTTTTGTTGAGGTCTCTCGAAAGAACCGTACTAAACACCGAAATGAGACTTTCACAAGGTACCTGAGCTGACTCCCGGTTTTAAATGTCCTACTAAGGAGGTGTTTTCGAAACATAAAAATATTTTTACGTAAAATGAGACAAACTATCTATATATTTATTTTGTATACCATAAAAATATTTTTAAAATCATGATTTTGATTCCATCTAAACACCTTTTAAGTACTTCATTTCAGTATTTAATTTTGGAAAATCATATTTATGTCCTGCAAATATCCAACTTGATGACAACTTTTGATTTTTTTTTTGGGAGAAAGATGTATGAAGGCTTATCTAGTGATTTCTCCCTTATTTCTATAAAAAATTTAGGGTTTATTTTAAAATTATTTTTTTTGGGCGAAATAACCTAACTGCCTGATTGTTATTATTTAATATATTATTACTTTCCTCCGGTCCTAGATATAAGACCCATTTTGTAGTGTAAATTTACACTACGAATGGGTCTTATATTAAGACTGAAAGAGTATTTTTTTAATTAAAGGGGGTTGACATAAAAAATTGAGATTACAAATATAATCAAACTCATGACTTCAGTTTCAGAAGAGCTTTTTATATGCTACTAAACTATTTCTCCGCCCTTAATATAAGATCTATGAGGAGTTAATGTTGGTCTTATATGTAAGGCCTATTTCACATGTTTTGTTAACAATAATAAAATAGGAGATGAAGATAGTTAAGGAAGATACATAGGGTGCTTTAAAAAAACATATCATACTAATTAATTTAATTAACATTATTAATCTATTTAAAATAGTTAATTAAGTTTTGCATTAAGTATGGGGAGCACAAGGTTATTGGCAAAGTTTTTACTCATAACTGTGGTTTTTCAAATCCTCAATTAGGAGTATTTAGATAAGTTTGCTACAAAATTTAATCACAAACTAGTCTTGAAGAGACTTTATTGTGATTAGACTATTTTAAAAATTATGAATTGTGATTTACATTATATATATATTTACCTTGGATTTACATTACATATTTGAACGCTAGTTTTGTACCTCCCTGCCATTTTCCTAACAATAAATGAGCAAATCCTTTTGGTATTTTATAGGGAAGGCATTAAAATATCAGTGATAGGAGACCAATCAAAGCTCCCAACTTCTCTACAAAGAATAATAAGCAACGCAGAGGAGAGGACGAAGCAAAACTCAAGACTACAACTAATCATAGCAATTAACTACAGTGGCAAATACGACGTCGTGCAAGCCTGCAAGGCATAGCTGGGAAGATGAAAGATGGCGTTGTGAAAGTAGAAGACTTAATGAAAGCTTGATCGAACAAGAACTGGAAACAAACTGCACCCAGTTCCCAAACCCAGACCTGATGATCCGAACCAGTGGCGAACTCAGAGTGAGCAATTTCTTATTGTGGCAATTAGCTTACACAGAACTTGTCTTTGATCCTCAACTCTGGCCTGATTATGGTAAGGAGCAGTTTGTGCAAGCCTTGGCTTCATTTCAGCAAAGACATAGGCGCTTTGGTGCAAGAAAATAATTAACGGGTTAAAAACCGCATCCAGCACCCTGATCTTTTTATAGTGTATTCAGATTCTTTTTTTTTTTTTGGGGTTACATCAACACCCTAATCTTTATGGTGCTAGATGCACACAAAAAAAAAAAGAAAGATCAGGGTATTGTATGCATTATAAAAATATCGAGGTATCAGATAACACTATCCATAATTAATTAGTGAATATTGCACCAAATATCTTACAAAATCTTTTATACATATACATATATGTGTGTGTGTGTGGTCCATATTCTAATTTTATTTTGGTCCAAACATGGCTTTGCAGTCTCCAATACCTGGTCGATTTGTAGTACTTGACATAAGTTAGTAACATGTTTATTTCTAGCAACCAGCAGATTCGCAGTAAGTTTGCCCTATTATTTTTTTTCTTCATTTTTTGTGTTATTTTTTTTTTTGGCAATTCTCTTATAACATTAGTTATCCCAATGTTGGATGGATCTTCAATTTCTTCTCATCTTTATTTGCTTTCATTTTCTTTATTTTCGAGCACTTGGAGTTAGGAAAATTGTGGTAAATGACTCCGGGACTCACCGTTTGATTGGGAAGTTACACTTGGTGCACAAATTTAGAATTAATTTATATGCCACACTCTCAAGTTTAAGAAAAACATAGAAAACAATATCATAAAAAATATATAAATGCTTTACACATATGAATTATTATTATTTGAATAAACATCACTAAGCTTCTCATCCACTTCAAGTTTTCGTAACCCCTCTTCTTTGTATCCATGAGATAATTTTATTCATAGTAATAGCAAAATGCGTAATTAAAAATTACATTGTGTCAGTATTAATTATTAAAAAATTACCATGAAAGAATACATTTAATTAGTTCATGGAATCATTAAAAAGGTAATGGAATGGAATGGCTGAGAATGTAATGTAATTGAGATTATATGAATTTGTTTGACATGAGAATTAAGAGTACAACAATCTAATTTATTATACATATATACGTACACACTATTAAAATAACAAAAGTATAAAAACAAAAATACTCTCCTAAACGAACTTCCTATTTCTTCACCATGATCGGCTTCCTTCTTCTTTACCTAAATCTGAAATCGTCCAATGAAGAAAAGACGACGACGTTGAAGAAGGATTAGGAAGGGAAAGAAAATGAGGAAGTCATCTTTACCATAACTACAAGTTAAAGAGTCCCTCTAATTCAACTTTTTATTTTTCTTACATGGTACCATTGTAAAGGGCTATTTGCCAGATGTAAAGAGACTATGCATTAATATTCAGCCACGTTTTGCTAAAAAAAAAAAAGCATTCAGCCACGTGATAGTGCTTAGCTAAATTCGGCCTTCTAGATGGTTGTGTTTTATACTATTCTTTCTGTTTTTAATATAAGACTTATTTAACTAATTTGATTAGATTAAAAAAGTTAGAAAAATCAGTTAATTATAAAAAATATAATATGTTTTTCCTGAAATACCATAATCATCTTCCTTAATATCCTCCCTTTCTCTTCTACCCAATTATAGTTAAGAAAGTATTCATATAGATAATTTTAAAAAAATTGATAAATATAATAAATATGTTTTATATTTATGATCAAAATCAATTTAATAATTATCTCTTACATTAAGCACCAAATGAGTACTATAAAAGCAACCAAAAGGTTCCCTCTTTAAATGAAGCTCAAAATCTTACGGACCTCTCTGGTTCCGAACAAGGAAGGAACACCATGTTCCTGCACAGCCTTCCTATTCCGGTGGAGAATGCTCTAACTCCCATTCCCAGGCATCATACCTCAAGTCCTCCTCCTACTTACAACCGTTCCCAAACACACCGATTCTTCCGTCTTTCATTGTTCCCCAGTTTTCACACTCCCAGCACCGCTCTTCCTCCGCCACATGTGGCTGTCGTTTCGGGATCCTCGCAGCAGCCGGAGCCGTTGCCGTCGGAGCTGCGGCCTGATCTGATGCCGAAGCACGTGGCGGTGATTATGGACGGAAACGGGAGGTGGGCTAAAATGAGGGGGCTGCCACCCTCGTTGGGTCACAAGGCCGGCGTAGAGTCGCTGAAGAGGATCATCGATCTGTGTTGCAGTTGGGGGATCAAGGTTCTGACCGTTTTCGCGTTTTCTGTTGATAATTGGGTTCGTCCAAAGGTGAGCATTTATTCTCAGGAGAGGTAGCTTTGATTTGACTTATACTCGTCGGTTTTTATATACACTTAATTGTTAGTTAATTTTGATTCTAAATATAAGACTTATTTTTTATATTTATTAATTTTTTTTTAAATATCTTTATGGATACTCCGTCAACCATAATCAAGTAGAAGAGACAGGAAGGATATTAAAGAAGATAATTATAATGTTTTAGGAAAACATGTCATATTTTTTATAATTAACTAATTTATCTAATTTCTTTAATCTAATCAAATTAGTTACATAGATTTTATATTAAAAACTAAAGGAGTATTAACTTTTATGAAGTTTTTGAATTGTCATTCTGTGACTAGAGGTAAGAATCTAAGAATGAAGTTGTTTTTTTTGAGTCTGAAATGATTACTCACTATTTTTTAAGAAAGAAACGTAATTATCAAAAAAAAAAAAATAAGGAACAACGTGAAGATATTGACATCTCATTTATTCTAGAATTTTTAAATAATTACGTTTTTTTTCCTTGAAATTTATAGTAATTCTTCTTATTTCTATTCAACATAGGAATGCCAATCTTTGATAACGTGATAAAAAAATCAATTAAAAAAATCCTCTAATTCCAGTCAGGAATTCGTTAGGCCCTCTCGTGTCCCTAATACGTAATTGTCTGATTATACATGTTTTAGAGTAAAAAACGTAAGTCGTACTGTTAGTATTAAAGCTGGGAATATGAGTGTCAACTACTAGTACTCATTTAGCCCACCTAGAATGGTAGCCAAGGTGAAAAATTTTCATCTTATTGTAATGTGAAGGGTGTTGGATAGAAATCAAATCATGGTTTCAGAAGTGTTTTTACGGATTACGAAGTAATATGTGGAAGAGATTACCTCGTTTTGCGGAAAAGTGCTTCTGAAACCATGGTTTGGGTTTCCCAAACACCCCTGAGCTGACGTGTTCACCTGCCTAACTCATTGAGAGTCGCCTGATTCACGCATCAAATTTATTTATTTTTTCCTTATCATGACTCACACATCCATCTCGAACGTTTATAGTCAAAAAAATTTCAACAAATATGCTTGATGTCAAGTGACGAGACCTTGTCTCAGGTCAAAAAAAAAAAAAGTGACGAGAGACCTTGTGGACCTAAAATAAAATGATTTGACTTGATTTGATTTATGCCTAGATTATGAAGACAGAATTTAGTATTATCTCATATTTTCTGGGGTCCGCAGTAGATTCTTTAACACGAGTTAGATTGTGATGATGTAGGTGGAGGTTGATTTTTTGATGGCGCTCTTTGGAAGTACCATAAACAACTTAATTGAATCTTACAACAGGTAGGTGATCGACTTCACCGTGTTAAACACCCTTGCTAGTAATTTATAGCCAACCTTTTTTAGCTTTTTGGTTAAATTAGAATAACTTCAGGTCACCACTTTGAGCTTGAAACTAGTTTTTACCATGCTGTTAAAGTCTTCCCAACAAGTATGTTTCTGGGGATTCGAATTTTGAACTTAAAACTAATCATTGTCGGGTTGTTAAAGCCCTATTAACAAGTGTGCTTCTGGTGATTCGAATTTGTATTCTCCTTCTTCTTATATAGGTAAAACCGTTTGTTATCTCAACTAATAACTTGTTGGTGCCAAACTTTTTAATTATAACTACAAAATTGATTTTAAAATATCAATTAATTTTTATAAATTATTACCGATTTATCATTATTTTCTGAATAGCCAAACGAAATCCCTTTTGGTGCATATATATATATATATATATATATATAATTATTATTACAGGAAAGACATCAAAATATCAGTAATAGGAGACACATCGAAACTCCCAGACTCTCTGCAAGGAGTCATAAACAACATGGAAGAGAGAACGAAGCAAAACTGTGGACTGCAACTTATCGTAGCAATTAGCTACAGCGGCAAATACGACGTCGTGCAAGCCTGCAAAGCTGTGGCTGGGAAGGTCAAAGATGGCATTATTGAAGTAGAAGACATTAACGAAGGTGTGATGGAGCAAGAACTTGAAACCAGGTGCAGCAAGTTTCCAAACCCGGACCTAATGATCCGAACCAGTGGCGAACTCAGAGTGAGCAACTTCTTGTTGTGGCAACTTGCTTATACTGAACTCTTCTTTGATCCTCACCTCTGGCCTGATTTTGATAAGGATCAGTTTGTGGAGGCCTTGGCTTCGTTTCAGCAAAGGCAGAGGCGCTTTGGTTCAAGACATTGACCAACTAAGAACAAGGGCTCATATGTAAATCTACTATAAAAGGCAAGGTGGGGGTGGGGGGGGGGGGGAAGAAACTACGGTTGCAGTTTTTTTCCATCCCAAGGACCTATTTCTTTCTGTTCTATTTATTGTACCAAAATAATGAATTGAGTTTGTATAGATGTTTTGGATACTGCTATTGTAATCGTCTTTCTATCTATGTTTATTTTATGTGACTTGGCTCATTTCATAAAGTATAAAGTATTCTATCGGGTTTAACGACAGCTATTCAATATTTTGTACTATAAAAAAAAAGCTATTCAATATTTCGGAAATTTTTTTCCTGAACCCGTACATGTTTATGTAGGTCTTTGTGTAATCCACTTGTTTGTAAATATGTATTATTTGTAAATTCTCACCTGACACTATAAATTTAACATGACAACAAAAAAGCACACGGATCCTTTTAAATTAAGTAAAAATGTCATGATTGTTAATTTAGCGTAATATTCATTATTTTTATGAGTGAATATGTAGCTTCACCACAAAATGAAGTTGACTTTTAAGGGTATACTGTTTGTGCCAAATCAATAAAATATTACATGTGATGTTTTAAGAAATCAATAAAATATTATCATAAAATATTTCTTTTTCTTATCAAAATATCATAAAATATTCCAATACCCTATATTTTAATGCATATGAATTATGTATAGGTTTATCTTGATAAATACAATGAAATGTATTTCAGTTACACATCATGGGTTAAAAACATGTGGTCATAAAAATTAATTAATATAATAAATTAACTTGATGGCAAAAAAATTAATATAGTAAGCTAGCTTTTTTTCCCCGTGTGCACTCTTGCATCTATTTGTGTGACATCGTAACGGAAGATGCACAATAACAACCTGAAATGCCTCATGACATTAATATATATATATATATATATATATATATATATATAGCATTAGAAGTCATATTGATAAAAAAAAAAAAAAAAAGAAGCCCGGGACACCCTTATACTTGCATTTGCATAATTGATTATCCATACCATGAATTAAAATTATCATACATCAATTATATATAATTTAATCTTGAGATACAAATGCAACTCTAAGAGGGTCCTGGTTTTTTCTCTCCTGCCAACGCTCTTGATGTGATTTTTAATACTATATCGAGAAAATTACAATTAGGTCTCATCCAAGAGAATTAAATACAAAAAGGTTCCTTGAAATCATAAAATTATTTTAAAATCTCAAGGGACTTTTTTGTAATAAATTTTACTGGTTTAATTATCAAATTATTTTTTTTTAAAGTTTCGATTGACAATTGAAAAAGCAGTGGTTGACAACTTAAGGTGCAAGGATTGACAATTATCGCGGCTGGTTTGACAACTCATGCGTTACATTTTGTGATATGTTAAGAAAATGTGTTGTCAAACCAGCCGAAATAGTTGTCAATCCTTGCACTCTGAGTTGTGTCAACCGCTACTTTTTTAGTCGTTAATACAAACTTCAAAAAAAAGAAAGATAATTTGGTAATTAAATAAATAAAATTTATTGCAAAAAAAGTCTCTAGACTTTAGAATAATTCATGATTTTAAGAGATTTTTTGTATTTAATTCCTTTATATGGGATCTGGCTGCAATTTTTCTTATTATATTTTTGTAATAACACAATACCTATGTTGATTGTTTTCGTAAGGAAAAGGTGCAAAGGAATAAAAAGGCAAGGACAGTTTGGTCATTTCAGTTCGATGAAAAGTTGAAAACGGACGACTCGAAAACTGAAACAAATATAGCCGTTGGAGCGAGGCCATGGATATATTCTTCAAGTATTTTTTCTGATTAAAAAAATTCTCTGAAAATGGCCACGTCGAATCGGATTCAAAGCATCAACATAAGGTTTTTCAACAATGGAAAGCCACCAACTTCTCATAAATTCACACACACTCTCTCTCTCCGCTCTATCATGTAAGCGAACCAAGTGAGAAACGAAGAAGGAAAGAACTTCGGTGCTTTAATGGCGAAACCGGTTTCTGACGGTGAGATTTCAAACCAAAACCAGGTTGCCAAAGTCGAAGCCGAAGCTCACCCCTACGCTTTTCATGTCTCTGGCCCTCGCAATCTGACCACTCTTAATTGGAGAGACCTCATTAATTCTAGTTGGTAAGTACTACCAATTTCACTGGATTTGTTGTGAATTTAGCGTTCCGATTCTGGATCTGATTAGTTCTTGAGTGCTCTAGCTTCGATTTTCACCTTAGTGCATGAACATTGCTTCTGTTTAAGCAAGTTCGAAACAGAGCAGTGTTCGGGGTTTTCTGAATATCTGGGCAGAATCGGTTTTCCCTATTTTGAAAGCTTCTCGAATTGGATCTCTTATGTTTTCTTTTACCGTCTTTTGATCCGATTCTGTCTATTCAGCAGAATCCGTTTTGAGTTATGAACGTACACTTGAAAGTTTTTCACATAAGTTTCCAGTTTTGCTTAATGACCTTTTCTGGCAGTATCTACGAGGAACTGGGAGAAGATAAGAAAATTTATGAACTATTTCAAACATGTAATTAAATTTTTTGAGTTTATTGGCTGCTTTGACTATTTCAGAGACCAATCTAACTAAGATATCTCGTTTAACTGGATTTCCAAGTCTGATTGTTTAGTTATATGATTGTCTTTCTTTCTGTGGTTGATTTCTGTAATTTTTGAATTGGCTTATGTATCTGTTAAAAGGAATTGTTCTGGCCCTTAGCTGCCATAGTATTTAAGCATTCAGCATAGAACTTTGTAGACCCTAATTTACTGCATTTCCTTAACTGTTATCAGCAATTTGATTTAATGCGGTAATTTCCTATTTGGATTCAAGGATAAGCTTACCTTTGCGTGGGTGAATATAGTCAAAGCCAAGATAATAAGAGATTGAATTTTTGTATTATCTGTTTTCTTAATTTGAAAATTATTAATCAAGCAATTGCAATTAGTTGAACTGCATATGTATTATCTTTTCTTGATACTTGGACAAAGTAGGCATTGTAGATAGTAGAAACCACATATTTTTCCATAATAAAATAAGTTTTTTTTTAATAAAAAGCAGTTTGTTTGGCAAGTTTAATTACATTATCATCTCCCGATCCCTCCTTCAAATACAAATCTAAATTTAATTTTAGATTTTATGCTAAAAATCTAATGTCACATTGTTTCACAAAATACTTTAATAGTTAAACGAATCCCTCGATGCAAGATCTAAATTTCATTTAGTTTAGAAGTAAATATAACACAGAAGAGTTTATTGACGGCAAAATGACAATAGTTAATTGCATTAGTCAATAACATTCTTATTAGTTATTATTGCATTTTTGTCTCTGTTTGAACTTGAAACAAGGAAACACGATTACCATAATCTTATGCATCAATCTCATTACCTTTGATTACAGTCCATTTTGTTTTCTGGAAAACAAATTCGAAGATTAGAAGATTTGACAAAACCCTGTGGATTAACAAGAAATAACTGATTAATGCGTTATTATCCCGAACCAAGATACACATATCTCTGTTTCAACAAAAAAACAGAGACAGACACTCATCACTACAATTCTATAAATTCTGGACCCAGATTTTCACATTATTATTCTTCCAATAATTCAATCTTTAACCTCATGAAATTTTCTTTACAGGAAGGATCCGAATTACAAGAAAACAGTGATAGCTTGCTTCATCCAAGCTGTGTACCTTCTGGAACTTGATAGGCAAGAGAATCGATCACAGTCAAACGCTCTAGCGCCACATTGGTGGATTCCATTCAAGTACAAGCTCACCAAAACGCTAATTGATGAACGTGACGGATCCATCTTCGGAGCAATCCTCGAATGGGATCGATCCGCCGCCATGGCTGATTTAGTCCTCATCAGACCCAGCGGAGCTCCCAAAGCCGTGCTCGTTCTCCGAGGAACACTCCTTAAAGGCCCCACCATCCGCCGTGACATCGAAGATGACCTCCGATTTCTCGCCTGGGAAAGCCTCAAAGGATCCGTGAGGTTTAACTCTGCCTTAGAGGCTCTCCGATCTGCTTGCGATGCCTATGGGAGCAGCAATGTGTGTGTGGCAGGGCATTCTCTTGGAGCTGGTTTTGCTCTTCAGGTTGGAAAAGCTTTGGCCAAAGAAGGAATTTACGTGGACACACATTTGTTTAATCCACCTTCGGTTTCAATCGCCATGAGTTTCAGAAACATCGGAGAAAAAGCTGAGTTTCTCTGGAAAAAGGTCAAGAAATCCTTCGTCTCAAACTCAGATCCCCAGGATGATCCGAACAATCCAAATGGCGGACCCGAATCTGGATCCGGATCCAATCCAAGCAGTTGGATGACCCGGTTTACAAGTTGGAAGGATTCGGGTCGATGGGTTCCGCATTTGTATGTGAATAACAGCGATTATATATGCTGCTCTTATACCGACCCGGATCATGGTGGCGATGGCGGCAGAGCAAGAGGAGGAGATGAAGATAAAGAGAATGTGAGGCCCGCAAGTGGCGGTGGCAACAGCAGCGGGCAAACGGCGGCAAAATTGTTTGTGGTGACAAAGGAGAAGCAGAGGTTTCTTGAAGCTCATGGGTTGGAACAATGGTGGTCGAGTGATGCGGAGCTCCAACTAGCTATACATAATAGTAAGTTGATAACAAGGCAACTGAAGTCTTTATATAATGCGGCTTCTACACAAATAACACAGGGAAAAGGGAAGCCCAAGTGAGAGTATAATTGTAGATATTTATTTGATTTTTTTTTAAATTCTTGGATTTGCTTGTTTGTTAAATAACTCGTTTTTGCTTCAATACATATATGTTGTATTTTTTTCATTCTTGTTTCATCAATTGGTTTTTTTTTATGCTGTTGCATTATATAGTTGAATCTAGTCCAATCAAATCAAGTAGTCACATAAAAAAAAAAGAAAAAATCTCAAAAAAGTGACTGTTGAATTTCAAAATGACAAATCATGAATTACTATAAAAATATGTTGTTATTTGCTTTGTAAGTATAGTTATTTTCTTTATAAATGTAGTAACCAATACTGATTTGTCATTTTAAAATTCAACAGTCGCTTTTTTAGGATTTTTCCTAAAAAAAATCATACAAATTTAAAAAAATTGGAAATAAGTTGTTCTGTAGCAGCCTATTCAAATATTGGACTACATGTCCTAGCATTAAACTTTTCTCATATTTTCTTTCAGCACCAAACGTTTAGTTATTCAAGCGTCTATATTCAAGCGTCTATATAGATTTATTTGTCTTCAAGTTCATTCTCTCTAGGATTTTTACATTTACAAATATTTCTAATCATCTTGAGACAGTTGTATTTGGAGGGGAAAAAAATACTCCTCCGGTCCTTAAAATAAATCCTAATTAACTAATTTAAGTATATTAACAATGCTGATTAAATTAGTTAATATAATATTTTTTTAAAAAATACTATAAGCATTTTTTTTAATTTTCTCCCTCCTTCTCCTACTTGATTATTATTGGAGAATAATAATAGAATTAATTTGGAAAAAATTTGGTAAAGATATAAAATAAATTATATATATATAACCAACATCAACCCTTTAATTAAACCTTATATTAAACACAGGAGGAGCAGCAGTGAAGCATCCTGGATACCCATTTGCAATCTTTCATAATAAAAAGGAGCCGGTTTTCTACAAAATTTGAGCTTTACGGGTCACACTATCCAACACATGTAAACAATTACTTTATTTTTATTATTTATAACTCACATTCAACTAATTTACAGAAAATTAATTAAAATTCATTGATTTTTTTAAAAATCATCTTATCTTTTCACAAATATCTTCAATCGATTATCTCTATCTCCATCATAACTCTATAACAATAGTCGTACCAACGAACTACCAGTGTTAGGTCATGGACTTATATTTTAGACTAAACCAACTTGCAAAACAATTACTTATATTGCGGAAGGAAGAAATATAAAATCATAAATTTTGAACCTGCACATACATGAAATTTCTATAAATTATTATATCCTCAAGTCGTTATACATTAATTTTGTTGCCTTGGGGGTGGGGGTTGAATAACAACAAAAATGAAAGCGGTAGAAGGACTTAATAGGCACGCCATCCATCAACATTCAAGGGTTTGTCTTCTTTCTGCCTCTTTCAGATTTCGTCTTCATTCTTAATTTTTTTTTTGTTTAAAGAAATTAATTGACAGGTGACATATTAAACTAAATGAAACTGATTGATTGATACTGATATATATACTGGAAAACTTGGCCTTTTTCTCAGCTGGAAATATATATGAATCTGTTAAGCCTCACGCAATTAATTAATAAAAGTATTACTGAAAATAAATTGTGATACTCATCAGCATAATGCTAAGATTATTCATTAATCAACCGTTCTTCCGAACTTTAAAGTCCATTGTCTGATTACATACTGATCAGAGTTTCAGATCATCTTCTGCAAAACTGTACAGCTCTAATCACAAATCCGCAATATATATAAATATATAAGCAAACAGATACGCTTGGTGAAAGCAAAAGCAAGCACACAGTACATGATGAATGGACATAAAGAAGTGGATCTTATATACAAAAGAATACGCTTAGAAATAGATACAATCTCTGATACGAATACGATGACTTCTGTGTACAATAATCGAAGGTATATACATATGAACAGGCCGGAAAAAGTACTCAACATTTGAACGAAAGTAGTACATACATCAACCAGAAAAGCTAGCATGCACATATATAAATATATATCGCTAATTAATCAGTCCTGAAAAGTCATAGTCGTAAACACTGATCTCTGCTGGCTGAGTGATCTGTGCGTAGAAGGGATCAGTGATCAACGGTTGTTCAACAACAGCTTGGTGATCATCGTCATCAAAAAGCAGTGACTCCAGATAATTAATCTGATCATACTCACACGCCAATATATCTTCAAAGGCTGTGTCGTTTTCCTCCGAGATTTGCACCATCTGGTTATTAGTACTTCCGCAGAAGAATAATCCATCAAGGTCTGCAACTTCTCTGTACATCGACATGATGAGTTCATTGGTATCATTCATATAATTATTATCGCTACGACAGAACTCTTCAGATGAAGTTGTCGTTGTTGCTGTTATTGGTGCTTCTGCTGAAACCGAGGGCTCAACCCTGAACTGAACCTGATGATGCTGATGATGAAGATCAGGATCATCATGGACTTTGGAAGAAGAAGAAGAAGAAGTTATTGAAGAATTAGGGCTTCCATTATTATTATTGCCAGTGAGGTCTTGAACGAGCTGCTTGAAGCTTGAGGAATCTGTGATGTACACCTTGGGTTTCAGATCGTTGATCAAGCTGTCGAACCCTTCAAGAAGATGATGATGTTGATGTTGTTGTTTGTGAAGTTTACTTTGATGACGACGACGACGATCTTTCTTTGATATCGTCGAGGATGCTTGTTGCTTAATCACTGTCTTTCCCATGATAATCTCGATGAAGATGAAGATTACGATGTGTGTGTCTGGAAAACCTAGGAATTACACAGCTGGCTCTTGGTTATCTCCGAGGATTCAATAAACTACGTACGTCTTTATATATATGTATGTGTGTGTATGTGTTTATTTGCGTGTGTTAAGGGATATATATGAAGATATGCATGAAAGTGAGAGGAAAATAAATTGATGAGATGCCAAAAATGATGTTTATTCACTTCGTTTTTATTTTATTTTATTTATTAGAAATCCATGTCTGTATTTCTTTTCGAGTTTCGTGTAATATACATACACTTTGTACCATTCATATTTTATTTGAATGGTTTAGATTTTTTATTTTTAATTAAGTTTTAATGTTAATCTTCTAATTAATTAACTTAAATTGTCTTCATGGTCTCTATAAGAGAACGACTAATATTTATATAATCATTTCGGAAACAAAGTTGAAATTTCAAATCAAAACAAACCATATGCATAATACTGCGTACTATATGGGGTATGTTTTCGTTTTCAGAGCAAGCACTGATGAATTACATTCCTTAAAATGTGGGCATTCAATATAAACTTCCACGCCCTGTACCTCCACTGTATTTAATTTATTTGTAATTTCACGTATTCTAGAAATTTTTTAACAATTTTTTGGCCAATTTTAAACTAAAGTTTCAAAATATAGTATATATCATTAATTTTAAATAAAATTATAACATTGCACACATTATTTCAAAAATTATTTTTACTGCATCATTTAATTATAAATCTCATAATAGATAGGGAAAATATCTAAAAAATTTACGGAACCTTTCATTGTATTAATATATTAATAAATAAGGAAACATTGATTGGTAGAGTAATAAATTTAAAAAAATAATAATAAAAATTCAAAGTACATTTGAAAGGTCAAGCTATCTATATATAACGTTGTTAAGTTCTACTTGGCACTCTTTTTCTTTGTGTGTCAAATTAAAAGTAAGAGAGTCCATCAAAAGAAGAAGATGCTATGTTTTGGATTTACGTAGGAGAAGTGAATGTTGGTCAATTCAATTGTAGTACATTTAATAGGAGGGCATGAAGGGCACGCAGTTTACTATTTGCTAAATATAAATTATTATAATATAATAAGATAGTATTAACCAATTAATGTTGGTTGCTTTGCCATTAATTAGCATCTCTATTCACACACATAATTATATTAAAAAAATTATAGTTAGACTTAGCCTGAGGTATAAGAAGAACCAAGCTCTTGGTATATGCTAGCTTATTAATTATGCTTTTCCATATGGCATTTCCTAGAAATTAATGTAATAGATTTTTGTCTCAAATATACATATAGTCTAAAGATATATAAATTAACTTCTATTGAGAGTATGTAAATATATAGATGGCCTAGCTAGTAATTGAGAGGATGGTATTTAGGGAAAAAAAAAAAAACCAACGTATGGGATAAAACTATTTTAATATTATTTTTCTTTTTTTTCCTACATGGATTGAATTTGAAGCTTCAATATGTGGGTCTTAATTAAGGTTTTTTTAAGTCATCAAACTTCATGTTTATTGCTATTATATATGTCATAATTTTAAAATTTTAATATAAGAAAACCCCTTCTTGTAAAGGATCATCCTTTAATTTTAAAGAAATCATCATTCATATCCCTTTAGAGATCTTGTTGAGGGGATATTAGTTCATAAAGATTGATAGATATTGATTAATCATACTCACACACATATTAAAAAAAAACCTCACCAATGCCGCACATAGATTGGGCATTAGCAGAGAAGTTATGTTTTGTTGTTGTTTTTTATGTTTTGAATTAATGAATTTATGTACTTATTAAAAAAAATCATTACCTATATTTTTGGCTTCTTCTCATTCTTTTTAATATATATATGTAATTATATATAATGAAAATGATTGATTGATTTGCAACATGTACATGAATTTGAGAGTAAATAAAGCATCACGCACACACAAAGAAACAAACACACGTTAGCCGGATAGTATGAACCCTCTCGCGCACATAATCTCACTATCATTATGTTTAAATCAATTTACAATATCTTATTCATATTTATTTGTATGGTTTTTCGGCATTGGCTGTCCATACTGTGGTATGAAAGTAACCCCTATGTACCATTCATTATCACCATCTGCCATTGTTGAAAGTAGCATTTAAAAAAAAAGAAAATTTTTCAATGCCTAATTATGATTAGGGAAAATTAATTACTCTTAATTAGTACATACTTGACAAAGCATCACCATCCATCCAAACAAGCTGTGGTGCGTGGTAGACAAGATTTTAGAATGTGTTTAGTTTCATGTGAAAATGCATACTAAGATAAGATGTTAACTTATAGTTGTCTCTGAATATGTTTAATTAAAATCATCACGATATAATATCAATTTATTATAAATAACTAATTAAATTAATTTTTTAAATATTTGTAAGTTAATTTTCTGGCTCTTATGTGTTAAGGATTAGAAATAGTATTATTTTTTTATCCTTAACATAAAAACTAATTAAAGGTTGAATTTTATCCTAAATATAGGACCTCAATCTATTTTGTCTCTCAAATTTATATTTTTTTCTCTAAAACATCCATATTAATTGTAAAGAGTTCCTACCAAAGGGTAATTCCAATGCATATGATTAAAGAAGGTAGCTTAGGAAAGTCAACACACATATCTTATAATTAACTAATTTAACTAATTTTTTCAATTTTCTCGGATTAGTTGTTTAGACTTTATATCCAGGAAGAGAGGTAATATTTCTTTTGTACCATCCGTGTTTTAGATGAAGTTATTACTTATGATATATATGTTCGCTGAAAATATTTTGCAATCGTATATATGAATGGCACTGGCCCTGACCCGAGTGAACAAATAATTGAGTTGGTCTTATTTGTCTTATTTTCACTTTGCCCTCAACTTTTCTTCTCATTCTTTTTATAAAGCGGATGGATTGTGTTGCTTTGCCTATTTTTGTTTAATTGCTTAAAGTGTAAGGCTTTTAAAAGGGAAGGTCTATTATTATACGAGCTTGCCTTTACGGGTTAGGCAAAGATACAATTGCTTTAACATCTTTATAACGTGCACTTATTTTATATATATATATATATATATATATATATATATATATATATATAATTTGACACAACTTTGTCTCACAGGTCAAAACTAGCTTTAACATATAATAAGGTGATGAAACTTACTAATTTACCCTTCCTCCCTTTTTATTCCCTGTGCATTTGTTTTTTAAAAAGTAAAAGCAAGATGACTACTCAGCAATAATCACTTCAATATTCATTTTGTAGATATTTACGGTGTTCTGCACAAATTAATTTTTCATTTTTCATTCACTTTAGTATTTATATTTCTTTAAACTCTAATTATTCAAAATTATTGGAGTTACTGAAAAAAGTTAATTCTGAATTCTGATTAGGTAAACTTAAATTTCCCCTCAATTGAATGCTTCCAGAGTCTGATCTTTTTTGTAGTTTTTAAAGGAAAATAAATAAATTATAATTTACATACTTATTATATTTTTGGTATTAAGGATTTTTTATTTTTGTTTCAAGGTTACATACTTTATATTTTGGGACAATGATACAAAAAGAAGTTAGAATTTTGTAAATATCAAACAAGGATGTCAACAAAAATTTGTTGTCATTTGCAAATTTAGACTTATTAATACCAAATAAAGTTGTGTTACCAAACCTGATTTGGGATTTGTAATTTCTAACTTTTTTTTGTCGTTTTCTCTCATATTTTTTAGATCATTACTTTTTTTTTACATCTTGTTCTAAACACAATTACTACTCCCTCCGTTCCTTATTATAAGAGACATTTGATGCTTATGGCATGTTTCTATATATAAAAGACGCTTAAAAGTTGTCTCCACTTTTTTGTGTTGATTTCCTATTTTACCCATATTTATTATCTCCAACTCACACTCTCTCTCCCTCCCACTTCTCTTTCTTTTAATAATTTAATTGTTTTCTCTCATGCTCTCTCTCCTTATTAATGAGGGCATTTTTGGGAAAAAAATTATACTTTTTATACATTAATTGTTCTTAACTAATTTTAACTATTTTTTTGATCAACGCATTTCAGTTATTTTTCTCTTATAATAAGGAACGGAAGGAGTAATAAATAAGACTGAAAAGTGTCAGAATCCCGTGTGAAAAGAAAAAGTGTCAGAACCTCTTAAAAACACGCATAAAAGTGATTAAATGATTACAATGGGAACAAAATTCAATAACAGAGCATACATTTAAAGAGATGTTTGGGTAGTCTTGAGAAACATTTTTTAAAAGTATTTTTTCGTAAATAGAAGCAAACTCTTTTATATATTTATTTCGTATACCGTAAAAACACTTATGAAACTATAATTTTGTCATCACCCAAACATCCCCTAAATCTTTTTATTTCCCTTAGATAGAAAGCCTGTATTTAAATCCAAGTGCTAGTTATGATCATATTCTACCTAACTCTTTGAATCAATTTCTGTAAACTCTTTGTAATACATTATCATTAAATTCACCAGTTAAAGAGTTAAATTATAGATTTGTACTCAACTCTTTATTCAGCCCAGGCCCAAAAAAAATCTTTATTTAAGCGGACCTGTATAACGTGTCAGGATTTGATTAGCAAGGCTCCCGCGTTCTTCTTCCTTAGGGAGAAAGAAAACCTGCAGTTTCCTTCCCGCCCTTCGATGTCACTGATAACAAAACACAAAGGACACTGATAAAGCAAAAGTAAGAAGCAATGCCGATTATAAGTCATACTACCTTTGGCTGCTTCCTCGAAAAAGCACATTGAAGGTTCATCGTTCATTTGATTATCAGTTTCCTTTCGTTAAAAAGCAGAAGCACTCACTGCAACAACACAACCCCAGACCAGCACACGTACCATTGTTGCTCTGATTTTCCATTCAAAACCACTTTTGCCTTTCCTCAATTTTATAACTCTAAAGCTTCTTCCTTTGGCCCACCCCGCGATCAAAAGTTCCTAATCTATCCTACCCAATCCGCCTTTCTTTTTCCCCTATACAAAAAACCAATGTTGCCTTTCACTTCATCAGACTCGAATGCTGGGTTTAAGCATTTGGGTACTTGTGAAATTTTCTGGGTAAAAACTGAAGAAACAAATTTTGTACTGGTGGTGGTGGGATTGTTGGCGAAATGGCGAGCACGAGTGGCACAAAGGGTGTTGTGCCCAGTGTCCCTCGGCTGCCTTCCCGGCGGATGACACGGCTGCCGACGAGTGATGTGGAGTTGTTGGATGAGAAGGGTGCTACTGACAGTGAATCTGTGCCATCTTCCCTTGCAGTTATTGTTCCAATCCTCCGTGCAGCCAATGAAATTGAGGAGGAAAATCCCAGAGTTGCTTATCTTTGTGAGTGTTTGAACGCATCTTCTTTTACTTTGCTCATGGGCAGATAGCCTTTCTATTAAAACATTACTTTGCCTTTGTTCCCTACGATTAAGCGCTACATTTTCCTTTTACGTGTATTAAAAAGTTTTGCTTTCTGTTTATGAATTAAGTTGGTGATTACTTAATTTTCAATGTTGTCTTCTTAAAAATTCAAACTGGTCAATGAAAACTGTCATCTATATTAATGTTGCACATGAAGTATAGTTTGTTTTCGGTTCTTCAAAGTTTTGAGTGACTATATAGGACATTAATAATATTAATTTCTTTTGTTTGTTTAATAGGCCGCTTCCATGCATTTGAGAAGACTCATATAATGGATCCAACATCAAGTGGGCGTGGGGTTCGTCAATTCAAGACTTTTATGTTGCACAGACTGCAAAGAGTAGATTACTAATCTTGTTTGCTTGCAATTTCCTTTTTTTTTTTTTTTACCTTGTTTAGGTTTTATTTTCTTACTTCTTATTGGTGTCTATGAGCACCTAGCAAAGATTTCTGTCCTATGGATTTATATTTTAACCAGTCTAATTAATATTCTTTTGCTTTTTTAGTTTTTAATCACGAAAATCGTTAGCATCAGACAAGAATTATAACTGCAGTTATTTCTCATTTTCTCTTGGAACTTTAAAAAAAAAAAATTGTTTGCAGGAAGGGGAATATACTAAACAGTTTAGTAAAAGAAGTGATACCAGAGAATTGCAGTGGTACTATCAAACATTCTATGAGCAACATGTCCGGGGTGGTGAATTTACAAAGAAACCGTGAGGCTTCATCTTAAATTCTGCTCCTGCAAGTTCTGTCAATGATAGCTTTTTTTTCCTTTTTTGTTTTTGTTTGGAAATGAGTGATGCCATTAATTTACCTTGTCTTATTCTTCTCATATTGCTATTGAAGAGAGGAGATGGACAAGATTCTTCAGATTGCCTCTGTATTGTATGATGTTCTGAAGGCAATGGTACCTCCAAAAGATATTGAAAATAAGGTTCGATGTTCTTGATTAGATTACTATGAGTTTATTTTGAGGGTACTTTCTATTCATTGTAAGGACCCTGAATAAGGATTTCTTTCTTTCATCACTAGACAAAAGAATATGCAATGGATGTTGAGAAGAAAAGGGGACAATGTGAAAACTATAACATTCTTCCACTGTATGCTGTTGGTGTTAAACCAGCAATCATGGAAGTTTCTGAGGTTTGTATGTTTGAGAGTTCATGCAATGACAGTTTTATCTCTGCTGATATGATACTCTTCCTGAAATTTAACTTTTTCCTGTGACTATCTTTTATTTCTTCTGAAAATATAGATCCAAGCAGCACTTAATGCTCTTCGCAATCTGGAAAATCTTCCATTGCCTATAATTCATTCAAGAAATGATTCCTCTACTGGTGTTTCTAGAATCCCAATGGAGAGATTTAAAGAAATTAATGACGTACTTGACTGGCTGTCTTCTATTTTTGGGTTTCAGGTAATAAATATTTTTCATACTCCTCTGGTTTTATTTATAAGGCACTTCCAACATGTTTCACACAGACCAAGGAAAACCTTAAACCGCATTAACTCTTCATTAAAATATAGCAACTTTCCAGCTTTACCCCTATTTAATATATACTCTTTTTAAAAATAATACTACACTATAATAAATGAAGGACAATATGGTACATTCATTGTAAAAATTTAATGAAGTGGCTTATAAATAGGACCAAAGAAAACTTTTTCTCTCTGTCCTATAAATAGGACCAAAGGAGTATTTGTTTCTTTTCCTAGGTTCTTCTAAGATTGAAGTTGAGCCGGTTAATTATGTAGGAGAGAGTTAGGGCCATATATCTTTCTTACTTTTTAATGAAAGAACAAAACATCAATAGGAAACAAGAGATAATAACTTTTCAAATGAATCACTTATTTATCAATGTCATCCGTCATCTAAGCACTATCTATTTTCATCTCAAGAGTCATTGAAATTTTGCGATGGATCATAGGATCATTTACTTTGTACGATTAACTTGTTTACTGCTTCAAAATTGTGAACCTGATTCAATCATAAAAGTTAAACTTTTGTGTCTTCTTTACAGACACTCTCTCCATTTAAAATTATAAGGCATTTTCAACTAATTTACACCTCAGTAAATCAGTTAATGTCATTAAAAAATACACATTCCTTTCATGTTTACCCTCATTTAATATGGTGTCTCACATGGGAAATACAAGTTATTTTTGTCCTAGAAACTTCTAGTGACTTGTCTGACCAAATCTCTCTTTTCTTTTTGGACATGAAGAAAGGAAATGTGGCAAATCAACGAGAGCACCTAATATTATTGCTTGCCAACATTGATATAAGGAACACAAAACCTGAATTTCATGAGGTGAATTAATGATTCTCACTAACAGCTTCATTTTCTCTAGTTTTCTCATTCTTAAATCTCTATTATGTATTAGATTGCTATATAATATCATACTTTTATGTTTGATTTGAAGACTAATGAGAGATTCTTGCGGCTTCATGAAAATACTGTACCACATTTACTGGATAAAATGTTCAAGAATTACTATTCATGGTGTAATCATGTGCGCCGTAAACCCAATCTTAGGTATGTGAATTTATTATTGGAGGATTGTTATTTGAAGTCTATGAGATGTTTCTTGTAATAAGCTTTAATCGTGTTTTAGAAACAAGGGCAGCTTGTATAATTTTCCTTTGTGCAATTTCTTTTCTTTTCTTTCTTTTTTTTTTTTTTTGGATAACGTTGCCAAAATTTTGCTTACTTTTGGTCCTACAGGTTTCCAGAAGATGGTGACAAACAACAGCTAGAGCTGATATACATAGCTCTTTATCTTCTTATTTGGGGAGAAGCTTCAAATATTCGCTTTATGCCTGAATGTCTTTGCTACATTTTTCATCATGTGAGTTTTTTTTTTTTTTTAATTCATATTTATATGGTGAGCCTTGCATCAAGCACATGTTCTAATACTCAGTGATTTATTCATAAGTATGTTATGTAAAAACGTTTCTTGTGTTTCGTTTATTACACTATCATATATAGCTACGTTGCTGAAAACATTTTGACTTTGAAATTGTTCTTCTTGGAGCATATGAAATATTAAAGTTAAGAAAGATATCTTACCTTAGCCAAGTTAACCCTTCTATAAACCGTACCAGATTCAATATTCCTTGTGTAATGATGTGACTATCAACTGCATGTAACTGTTAGAAAGTTCCCCCCACAGCATTCCTCTTCCTCGTAAGACTCTAGTACAGTAGTATTTTGCAAGACTAGTAATTAACCGGTGTAGATAGCTACTACGTTATCACAGATTTTTTTTTCCCCCTTTTGCTTGAGATTGAAAAATGCAAGTTCTTTAATCAATGAAATTATGATATAGCTCTTGATTACTTTTTTTGCCAAAGATGTGCCGTCATGTCTATGATATTCTACAAAGTAATGTCCATCCTGCGAGTGGGGAGAATGACAAAGCAGAAGCTCCAGGTGAAGAAACCTTTCTGAGGGATGTTATAACTCCTATTTATAATGTTTTAGCAAAGGTGAGTTTGATACAGTAATAATTGTATTAATTTTGCTACATTCTTATGAAACATGTGTGCCTGAAACTCTTCTCTGAATTTAATGAAACAGGAAGCTCAAAGGAACAACCAGGGCAAGGCCAGCCATTCCAAGTGGAGAAATTATGATGATCTGAATGAATACTTTTGGTAAATGTTTTAATGAGTTTATAATTATCTCAATGTTGAGAACAACACTAAAACCTTTTTGTTATCATGTTTTACAAGATGTCCAACTCTATGTTTTCCTAGGTCTGACAAATGCTTTAAGCTGGGGTGGCCAATGGACCCAGAAGCAGATTTTTTCAGGAATTCAGCTGAGTCACTGCCAGTAAATGAGGTCTCTCTTTATGCCTTTCCCCTTATCTTCCTTATTTCAAGAGTTGTGGTTTTGAACTTTCAAATGCTAGTCTCACGAAGCTGTTCTTGTATATGAAACTGCTTAATAGGAATGATTTTAAATGAGTATATATATCTTCTACTCCTTCATGGTGTGTTGATATTTTCCACATGTTATGAAATGCTTTATTTATGTGGCTTTGTGTCAATATGCAAGTGTCAAACTTCTGCGCTTCTGTATGGTGACCTTTCTACTGCGAGCTTTGTTCACTACTAATCTTGCCACTGAGAATAATGAAATTGTAGGCTAGAAATAAGAAATAGATGGTCAAATACATTGATTAGCTTTCTTTCTTTAAGAAATTGTCAAAAAGAAATTAAGCAAATTCTATTCCTTAGCTATTGGATGAATCATCTTTCTAAATGGTATTGAAACATATTTCATGTGGTTCATGGTTCAAAGTTTATTTGCCAATCTATACAGTTATATTTCTTTTTCCATGACCGTCTCCAGAATTCAGGAAATTTTCTTTGTTAAGAGGGGAAAAAAATTGCATTTTCATTTCCTTGTTCTTGGTCTCAGTCATTTTTTATTCCTGAAATATCTGTTGTTGAATATCAAATGCCAATGTTAGGGTCCTAACCAAGCTAGCTCTGGAGCTGGAAAGAAGCCCAAAACAAATTTTGTGGAAGTTCGTACATATTGGAGCCTCTATCGGAGTTTTGATCGAATGTGGATCTTCTTTATCTTGGCTTTACAAGTAATCTCAATCCATGATGGTTGGAATTATGATATAGCTTTCAAATTTCAACAAAAGAAGTTTGTGTCATTTGTGAAGATACTGCTTTTCAGGCCATGATTATTGTTGCATGGAGTTCCTTGGGACCTTTTGCTATGTTTTATGATGCAGATGTCTTCAGAAGTATTATGAGCATATTCATTACACATGCCATTCTCAATTTTCTGCAAGGTGCTTGATCCTATGTGCTTGAAATTTTCTGTGCTTTATGTTGGGTGGGAATAAGTGCTAATGCGACTGCTTGCTATTATTGTTAGTGTTACCATTCAAACCACTTCTCATAACTTCTATTTGCAGCTTCTTTGGATATTATTCTGACTTGGAATGCCTTGAAGAATATGAAAATTTCCCAGTTGCTACGGTATCTTCTGAAATTTGTTGCCGCAGCTGTTTGGTTTGTTGTTTTGCCAGTCAGCTATTCTAGTTCTCTTCAGAATCCATCAGGGCTTCTAAAATCCTTAACCAGTTGGGCTGGGGATTGGGGGAACCAGTCACTATATACGTATGTTGTTGTGATTTACTTACTGCCAAACATTGTGGCTGTAATACTGTTTTTCCTTCCACCCATACGGAGAAAGCTGGAGCACTCAAATGTGCGAATTGTTACCCTTCTGATGTGGTGGGCTCAGGTAAACAAGACCAGCATTTGCTAGACTTACAGCTTGCTAGGTGATTGAATTAATTCTTCTATATCTCTAATTTGTTTTCTCTTCATGAACATCAACCTTTCTTCAGCCAGAACTGTATGTGGGTAGGGGTGTGCATGAGGACTTGTTATCACTACTGAAGTAAGTGAAAAACTCTGGTAACTTTTTATTTAATCACCTGATTTTATATGGTAATTGGCTTCCATCTGTATTTAGCAAGAAATTATTTTTAGATGGTTGGATAATCAATCAGAATGATACAGAGAATTCCAATTTTAAATTGGCTAGATTTTCAGTCTCAGTTATGTACATAGTGATAAATGTATCTTTAATTGCAATTTACTGTGCTGGTGAATGTATCTTTGATTGCAATTTCCACAATGTTTATGACCTGTTTGGTAAGCAGGAGGAAAGTGACTCTCTCTCACTCTTGCATGTGCGATTTTGCTATGTTCTTATATTTATAACTGAAGGATCTTTTCCATTATCAAAATTATTTTTATATTAGATCATCCATTCCATTATGTGTCAGTCACTACATACATGTTGGTGTTGTCTTCAATTTTGAGCACTCATATTTCTCATGTGAAAAGTATTCCTGCTATATTTTTGTTATTAAACAAAATTTTTCAATCATTGGCACAATTGAATCTTCTAAAAGTTCCTCTTTACTTTTGCATTAACATATGTCTATTGTGGCAGGTACACCCTGTTTTGGATCCTGCTTCTAATTAGCAAGCTAGCATTTAGCTACTATGTGGAGGTAAAGTCTCTAGGTCAATTACATGTGGCTTTGCTATATCATTTACATTTTTAAAATGTCACACCTGAGTTTCTTGTTGACACAGTGATAATGTTACTCTAAAAGCATATTGAAAAACCTCAGTTGCTTTGCACACCACTATGCACATAAATCTCTCATTGCCGCTCTCCCTTGGTCCCACATGTGGGCTCTTTTTGCCACACATGGTCAGCCTCTGCTTGACACTGACTTTTCTTATTTTCCTGGTCCAAATGAATTTTCTTGCAACAAGAGAAGAAAAATAAAAAAAAATAGAGGGGAAAAAGGAAGATAGGGCTGACAGAAATGGAGGGAAGAGAAATGTATATGAGAAAGGTTGTCAACATATCTTCCCTCAATTGATTCCTTAACTCTAGCTCTTTTAATTACCTTCCATATTAGCCCCATGATTCTAGGATGTACACCTTGGTTATTATGCTTAATTAGTTGAAACCATTATTCTTCATTAAACAAAAATAATAGATTAGGAGAAAAATAGAGCAGTAATAATTTCAAAACTAAAATAAATGAGGATGCTTCTTTGTTTGTTCCATGGGCTTGCTGCTGGATTGTGACTTGTGCAAACTTGCCTTTCTCCTGATGATCTTATATAACACAGAAGAGCTCTACACTTTTTTCCACTAGTTAAGGGTATAATATAGCCGAAGTCATGATTTATCAATAATTAAGATTTTTTTATATTTCTAGTGTAAAATACATTAACCTCTCTTTTATTTAACCTAAATTACAAAAACTTCCCTCTTATTTTGAAAACATGCATGGACCTCCTTAAAACTAAAAATATTATGTTTCAGAATCGTTTTAGAATATTCTTTAACTGTATTGCTGTTTAGACTAAAATTTATGTTTTCAAAATACAGGGATTGTCTATGTAATTGATGCAAAATAGATGGGTGGTTAGAGTATTTTACTCATAATTTTATAATTTTATAATTATATTAATATGCAGGTCATAAATCTTAGAAGTTGTGGAGGAATTTAAATAAAATGATGCCAAATCATAGTTTTTGGTTCCTGTAGATTAGTCAACTTGGGTCAAGGCCCCTATAATTTTTCATTGAGGAATCAGTCCTTAGAATCTTGGCTGACTTTGGTCAATGTCCTTAGAGATGACGTGCACTGATGTGGCAATGATGTATGGTAACAATAGGGACTTGGACCACCTTTTAAGACTAAGAGCAAAAACCCCCATAATAAAATATTATAACATTCCTTTCCAACTAAATACAACTATGCACGCATTTCCCCAAAAATTTTTGTCTTCTTCCTGCACAATTACATACTGAATCAATATAAATTAATCCCTATTTTCTGGGCAAACTCAAATCTGCCCGAAGATTCCCAATAACTCGTCCCAAAGCAAAGTAACCACAGTACAATGTAAGAACAACTGAACAAACTGTATAGTTATTTTAGAAATAGTCCTACACAAGGAACACTTGTTAGAGAAAAGAGAAAAGAATCCTATTTGGCCTTCTAATTTGTAGCATATCATTGGTATTTATTCTGTTGAGGGTCGATGTCCTACACAAGAAACAAAGATGGACGCTTCAGTTGTAAACTAAGGGATCAGAGATAGAAATCAACAAATTATTCCCTCATACTGTAAATTGTTGAGATCTTGCCATCATGTTGCTTGCAGTTTCTTCATTGTCCTTTATGTGTGTAACTATGTATCAACAACTTGATTTTCTCATTGCTCTACAAAACTATTTTTTCATAGATATTGCCCCTTGTTGGACCCACAAAATTAATCATGGAGATGCCTATAGATAACTTCCAGTGGCATGAATTCTTTCCAGAAAATGGTAACATTGTACTGCATATTCTCATTATCTATACTGTAGTTTCTGCGGATATAGTTGGCATCAGCTCACACTATGCAAATTCTACAGATACTCATAATATTTTTGTTGTCATTCCAATATGGGCTCCAATTATACTGGTGAGTTGGGTAAAACGGAATTTCTTGGGTCACTGACTTTACCTTGATCTATTGCATTGGCTTCTACTTCTTATCTTCATGAAGTCATGCCTCTATTATACATTTCATTAATATCTAGGTTTACTTTATGGATACTCAAATATGGTATGCCATTTACTCTGCTCTACTTGGCGGGATTATTGGAGCCTTTCATCATTTGGGCGAGGTTAGTGGATTTTAAGGTTTTCTTTGTTGTTCGTTTTACTCCTCCAAAAAAATTTCCCCTCTCTCTCTCACACACACACACACACATTTGCACTTCAAACAGATGTTCCGTGCATGCTTTTACTGTTCAAAATATTTATAAATTGCTGTTATTGTGGTAATAAGGTTATAGTACTGGTGGTAAAAAACTTTTCTGTTGATTATGTCCTTGGGGCATTTTTAATCTCTTAGATAAGGACACTTGGGATGCTGCGCTCCAGATTTGAATCTATACCATCAGCTTTCAGTCAGTGCTTCCTGCCCGGAAGTAACAGTGAGACTAAGCCAGAGGATATGGTACTGAACTTCATATTTACAATTTCAGAAACCTTGTATGTGATGCGATTATTTGACCCACATGATTGTTGTGATTATTTAGTTAATCATGCAAGACATTTAACTCTACTTGTGACATTCCCTATGTACTGCTTTTTTAACGGCTCTCATATTATATATACATGTAAAATTATAGTCATTTGCATGCATTAGCAGCGATATTATACATAACACTATCGCTCAAGCTGAGAGAGAGTGAGAGAACTTGCTCAATATCCCATGACTTATGAGTGTAGAAAAATTGCCATTATGTCATTAGAAATAGAAGGATTCGCTGACTTATTTGTTTTGTTTTTTTTATATGGGGCTAAAGAATACTTTTTGTTTCAGATTGAATCAAATGAACGCAGAAATATCGCATGCTTCTCTCAGGTCTGGAATGAGTTTATAAACTCCATGAGAGATGAAGACCTGATCAGCAATAGGTCCAAACTACTTACTTAATGCTCCTTACAGCTGATGCATGGATTTCAAGATTCTGATTATTATTTTTATCTTTAAATTGTGCAGGGATAGAGATCTGTTGCTTGTCCCCTACCGCTCAAGTCATGTTTCTGTAATCCAGTGGCCCCCATTTTTGCTTGCTAGTAAGGTATATGTTGTGAATGAATCTGTATAAATTTTTTTTTTTGGCTGAATTCCCGTGACTTTTACTTACTTCCTTTTTTTCCTTTCATACATGATAGATTCCAATAGCACTAGACATGGCAAAAGATTACAAGGGGAAGGATGACGCTGAGTTATTTAAAAAGATTAAGAGTGATGAGTACATGTATTCAGCAGTCATTGAATGCTATGAGACACTCAGGAGACTTATATATCACCTCCTGGTAGATGGAGCAGATAAGGCGTAAGTAAGAAGCAATTTGATAGTCTTCCTCGCCCTGCCTTCCATCCCCAGCTTAGAAAATTGAGAATTATTGAAAGAGACCATGGGGTGATGATGTTTAAGAAAAACGAACTATTATAGGTTTAACTACACTCATGGTTAATTGATCTTTCACTACATTTTTCAGCCCATGGATCTTTTTCTATCTTTTCTCTCAATCAAATTATATACTATTTGTGATGAATGAGTTGAGAGAGAGGAAACTTGCCCGTGCCCCCTGCTTGCCCCTATATTTTCTGCTTATAGAATCCTTTGTGGTTGGATGGCCATGAGACAGGGTTGTGAAACGAATATGTCAGAGAGTTGAAAGGAGCATAGAACAGCACACATTTGTCAAAGAATTCAAAATGAATGGCTTGCCCTTACTCAGTGAGAAGTTGGAGAAATTCCTAACTCTAATGGTATCTTGTTTCCATTTTATGTTTTTTTACACGTCTGATTCTTACTCCCTCTGTTCCAAAATGCAAGTCCTTTTGTCCAAGATTTTCCTAGTCCAAAATATAAGTCCCATTTGGTAATATCTAGCGTATTAGATTTTTCTTTCCCTTGGTTTACCCTTTTATGTATATAATTTTTTTTCATTAAAATTAATGTCATCTTTGAATTTAATAAGTGTTGTTTTGGAAGGTGTTATAATTTTTTGACAAATTTGATGAGTTAACTTCCATTTAACTTCCTTTGTTGGTCTGTGTGTCGGTGGGTAAACTAGACTTGTATTTTGGACCATAGGGAGTGTCATACTTCTCAAAATCATATGCGAGGCATTTTAGAGCAAAGTTCAAAGCTTACAAACATTGATATTTATTCCATTGACAGCAAACTGATGATCACAAAATTGAGTCATTGAGGCCCCAGATAGTCAATGTAATGCAGGATATAGTGGAAATTATTTTCCAGGATGTTATGGTTGATGACCCTTCGTAAGTATGAAAATGTTTCATAATAATGCATTATTTCCTTTTAACATTAATATGATTGCCCACTCATTTATGACATTGGCTTGGCTTTGCTCTTTCAGAATCCTGCATGCTCCCGACCGTAATACTGTAGATAATGACTGTAATACTGTAGATAATGACCGTAATACTGTAGATAATGACGTGGAAGGACAGAGGTTTGTCAATATTAACATTTTACTTGCACTAGACAAGTCATGGAAGGAAAAGGTAGGTCGTGACAACCACGCTTAACTTGTCACATTCCATTATTATTTGTGCATGCCTCTTGATACCTTCGTTCCCTCTCTATAGGTTATTAGGCTTCATTTGCTTTTAACTGTCAAGGAGTCTGCCATAAATGTGCCACAAAATCTGGATGCTCGTCGGCGTATTACATTCTTTGCAAATTCTTTATTTATGAATATGCCAAAGGCTCCCAAAGTGCAGGATATGCTGTCTTTCAGGTTGGTCGCTGTGATAGACTAATGTATTGAAGTAAATTACAATATACATGCAGCCAGAAGATAGGTACTTTATGTCCAAAATGTGTTGTTTTCCAAAAGGGCAGTTTTGGGAGCTGTTTTTTTCCCCAGTTACAAAGGTGGCGTAAGGCCTTGGGGAAAAGGAAAGTGACGAGGTAGGGATCAAACCTAGTGCCTCTGGTCCCCCAAGAATCAAGCTGCCAACTGTTATAATCAATTAAAAGAGAAAAGTAACTATTATGCTTACCATTTTTTTAATTATTGTTTGTGACTATAATGGCTTTCTTTCCCAATATACCTATTATTTAAAAAGTCATGTGCCCTTATCTACAGTTTCTCAAGTGTCCCGAAGATATAGATGGTTGTTTTGCTTTTTCACCTCTTGCTTCTGTGATGTGGAACTTTTCTGAGCTTTTCTTTTTTAGCGTTCTTACTCCATATTACAAAGAGGATGTGTTGTATTCTGACGAGGAACTCAATAAAGAAAATGAAGATGGGATTTCAATTTTATTTTACTTAAAGAAGATATATCCCGGTGAGTCTTCTGTTGATTTGCTCCCTTGTCCTTTTTAACACTTACTAGTTGTGCTCATTGTACTCCCTAAATGTACCGTAGATGAATGGACCAATTTCCATGAAAGACTTGAAGATCTAAAACATTATTATCCTGGAGAAGTAGATGAAGGTGAGTTAACACGTCAGTGGGCATCTTGCAGAGGGCAGACACTCTATCGAACAGGTTAATATCATAGTGTATATATAGCTTTCTTTGTTAGATTTTTATGTACATCTCTATTTATTTTAATTCCGTTTCTTTTTCTAGTAAGAGGAATGATGTACTATAGGCAAGCTCTGAACCTTCAATGCTTTCTACAATATGCCGAAGACAATGGTTAGTTTCCTATTATGTCTGCTTTTTGTTTTTTCAAAATCAAATTCCAAAATGTGGCAGAAGCAATCCATTTATAAGTGAAATATGTTCCTTGTGCAGCCATCTTTGGTCGCTACAGGACTGTAGATTTCAGTGAAGATCAGAGAAACTCTTTGGATCGTGCCCAAGCTTGGGCTGATTTAAAGTTCACCTATGTTGTTTCATGTCAGATCTATGGTTCTCAAAAGAAATCAACAAATTCCCGAGACAGAAGCTGCTATAATAATATTCTCAATCTTATGTTAACGTGAGTCAATGTAATCATTTGGAGAATTGTAAATAGTTGCATAATAGATGATATCCATGGCATCCACAATAAACATGCAAGTTGCCATGCAGAAATCCGGCTCTTCGCGTCGCTTACATTGATGAAAAGGAAGAGATAGTGGATAAGAAAACTCAGAAAGTTTATTACTCTGTTCTTGTCAAAGGAGGGGACAAGTATGATGAGGTATGGACAAAATAATTTAGTTTGATGTTTCCTCATGATTTCTGCTTTATGCAATTTTTCTAAAAGAAGTTATGTGACAAGTCATTGTGGAGTGGGGAATGAAATACCGAACAGTATCCTTGGGGATCTCATTGGCATGTAATTTGGTTCTGTGGCTATTCTACGGATATAATTTGGTTCCCTTAGTGTCATGTTTCTTCCGGTCCTTAAATGTCCTCATTATTCTGATCCATCTATGATGGTTGATGATTAACTGAATGTCAATGTCCTTATTTGTAATCATGTGACTCTAGTACAAATGATTTTCCGTTGCATTATTAGGAAATATATCGGATCAAGCTTCCTGGTTCTCCCACAGCGATTGGTGAAGGGAAGCCTGAAAACCAAAATCATGCTATTATATTTACACGTGGAGAAGCTTTGCAGACCATAGACATGAATCAGGTAGCTTTGCTTGGGATATAAATGTAGGATGCATTTGATGCTCTGTAATTCAGTCTGCTCACTGTCATATTCTCTTTTATAAGGACAACTACTATGAAGAAGCTTTCAAAATGAGAAATCTATTGGAGGAATTCCATAGAAATCACAGTGGGCAGCGGAAACCCTCCATATTGGGTCTAAGGGAGCATATATTTACTGGAAGGTCAGCCCTGTGACAATGTATTCAATATCAGTTGAATAAGCCTCCCCCCCCCCCCCCCTTTTTTCCTCTCTATGGGGGGTGGGGGGTGTTTAACCCTAAAACCTGTATTCTATGGTTAGTGACGAAAACCACTTGAAATGTTTAAGTTATCAAGTGAAAGCCCATTATTAGTTCTTTAGTTTATTTGGCATGCCCAATAACTTGAAATCCCTTTGGGCTTGAAATGCGGACAAAACACTGGATTGCTGTGCTTATGTGGGAAATTTTAATTAAGAGATCTGGGTAGCAACAAGGTACGGTCTCTAGACCATTTGATCCTGGAGTCTTTAACCAATGGTAAGGATAACTCTAGTTCAAAAACGCAAGTTATAAAGTGAAAATTTATAATTGGCTTCATGATATTGATACAGTCACTGACAAAAAGGATGAGGGAAATAGTTCTTGATGATTTCATTGAGAGTTTGCATGAAGTATTTATTTTTAAAAAAGGGAAAATAAATGCTAGAAGACAAATTGCTAAACTAAAGGGATAGAATCCATGATCTTATGTTTACATCCTACTGTCAGCTAATAATTACACAATCAAATAATTATGATATCTACAATATCTTATTTTGCAGTGTTTCATCACTTGCTTGGTTCATGTCAAACCAAGAGACTAGCTTTGTGACCATTGGCCAACGAGTATTAGCAAATCTTCTAAGGTTGGTACCGGTATGCTTGTCCATAACTATGAATGTCATGTTGCATGTAGTTCATAATATGGAATGAAGGTTCTTGAGTATTTGTCCTTGGCTGTCTCTTATCCCTTTATCATCTTCTTTCTTTTCCACTTGATCTGCCCAAAAGGGGGTTGGTACTTGCAAGTATATCTTGGCATTTCCCCACTTTTCCATTTCTTTTTTCTCCTTTATTTATCTTGAGTCTCTATTGTCAGGAAACCATTGAACTACGCAACCTAAAAGCTTGTGATGTTAGGGCATTGCAAAAGCATGATTTTCTATCTCTCTGGAATGGCTCTTTGGGCAAAAGCCCTCTGGGCCTGACACCCTGTCAACGGATTTGTTGCTATTTTTTTTCCTGAAATTAAATTAAATCAAATACGAGAATGGGGATATGGAGAATCTAACCCTTAACACTTGGTTAAAGATGATTTATTAGCAATTCAAGAAATCATTATCAGAGATATATATACGTGTTAAAACAATCTCCGGGCATTCCTCTTGTAGATTTGTTGTCCTAACTTTGGGACTGGAGGACTTTTATCTGTTTTTTCTTCTTTGATTGAAGTAACGTATCCATAAATAATCTAAAAAAGTCATTACTTTAGAAGGACATCATTTCTTTTCATTTTCTCTCTTTTCTTTCTTTTGTAAATTATTGCTTTCATTAGGGGACATTGAAGAACCACAACTGACTTTTGTGGATTCAACTACTTATTGATTTAATCATTTAGTTCCATCAGAAAAATGATAAAATATAAGGGAAATTTTGAAAAATTTTAAATCAACGATGTGACTGGATATGCAAGAGTTTAATGCTTTTTTTCCTTGTTGAATAGTATTTATGAGTCTTCATTGTTTGAGTTTTCTATATTGCTTAATTTACAGGGTACGATTCCATTATGGACATCCTGATATATTTGACAGAATCTTCCACATAACAAGAGGCGGCATCAGTAAAGCTTCAAAAGTTATAAACCTAAGCGAGGATGTATTTGCAGGTATTTCAAGGTTCAGCAGAAATTGTCTGATTGATGGATGGAACATGTAAGACTAATTATTCTTATATTGTTAGGGTTCAATTCAACTCTTCGTGGAGGACTTATCACACATCATGAATACATCCAAGTAGGTAAGGCACGTGATGTAGGCATGAATCAGATATCACTCTTTGAGGCTAAGCTTGCAAATGGAAATGGAGAGCAAACACTCAGCCGTGATGTTTATCGGCTTGGACGACGGTTTGACTTCTACAGAATGTTATCCTTCTACTTCACAACAGTTGGTTTCTATTTCAGTAGCATGGTAATCAATTTAAGTCATTATGGCAAGTCTTTTATTTGATGGCTATTATTAATAGGAGGTTGCCTTTTTTGGCCACATAACATGTTGCTTGAATAGATTAACCTAGGACTTGTGATTGAACCTTCTTGTGATTTTGAGATAAATTTAAGTCCAATTATTCTGAAAGAAGGTCCACCATGATATAGACGATACAGATGACTTTAGTGAAGCCCGAAGGTATTTGCTATTTAGTTCAAGAACAACATAGGGAAGAAATTTTTTGAAGAACCCAATCATTTGATCATGAGTCGGAAAAATGTCCACTTATCTATCGTTTTTATTGGAGAATATGACCACATAAAAGTGCACATATATTTTACCATACAGGAAACTTCTCAGTAGGAATGGTATGAAACAGATAATCGAAGGATATTTTGGTAATTTCTTATCATGCTGACGGAGCCCAACCAAATAGATAGAAATCTAACACTGAATTTAATCCAATACCCAAATAGTGTGTAAAAACAGAGTTACAGTAGAAAATAAGCTACTGGAAAGTATAGGAGGACACTCACACTCAGAACTTACACTGAAAACAGAATAGAAAATGAAGAAAGGAGCCCTTCTCTCCTAACCTGGTGTTCGGAAGACCAGGCACTCTCCTTTACTAAACGGCAATCTGCTCACATCCTCACAATCCTCCACGCCCCAAACCTCCCCAATCCCAATAGTACACTTTCTCTCACCCAGCTCACCACATTCATGATCCAAGAGACGCTCACAGCTGTGATACCCTTTCCCGTCCCTTTGGACAGGCCTTCATACACTCTTTTGTCTTTTCCCTCTTGCCACAGTCCATTAACAACCTAGGCCCTGAAGCTAGAGGTTTACGACGAGCGCTTAACCATGGCTGTCAAGACGCCTGTATAGCCACTTCATATATTGACCTCATACAAAATATTTATAACTAATAATAAATGAGGTTCATTCAGGTTGATATCAGGATCACTTGAGACTGTGTGTTCACTGCCTGAGTATGTTGAGGGTGGACCAAATTTATATTGCCCGTCAAAATCAATTCACTCATATGGTCTTATGTATGAAAACGACACTGCTTAAATTGAAGGGTGTTTACGATAACCTACTTAACCTTTGAGTGGTGTTATTGGATACCACCGAAATGACACACACACACACACACACACACACGAAAAGTGTAGTTTACAAATCATGATAGATGCAATGTACACCCAACTAGGTGGAACTAAAAAGATATTCAGAAAACAGAGAACCCTGCTTTCATGAATTAAATGGTGGCTAGACAAATGGTTGTATTTGAATGTCATAATATTTTTTTCAGATGAGCGTGTGGATTGTCTATTTGTTCTTGTATGGACGTTTATACATGGCTTTGAGTGGGGTTGAAAGACAAATACTTCAGAGTCCAAACATGATTCAGAACATAGCCCTTGAAAAGGCCTTGGCAACCCAGTCTGTCTTTCAGTTGGGCTTACTGCTGGTACTACCCATGGTTATGGAAACCGGCTTGGAGAAGGGTTTTCGCACAGCCTTGGGTGATTTTATCATCATGCAGCTCCAGCAGGCCTCCGTCTTCTTTACCTTCCATCTAGGAACCAAGTCACATTATTATGGAAGAACTATCTTGCATGGAGGCTCTAAATACAGATCAACTGGTCGGGGGTTTGTTGTATTCCATGCAAGATTTGCTGATAACTACAGGTTGTACTCAAGAAGTCATTTTGTGAAGGGCCTAGAGATTCTCTTACTTTTGATTGTATGTGAAGTCTACGAGATGTCATATCGTAGCTCAAACGTTTATATGTTTGTCACATTCTCAATGTGGTTTTTGGCCACTTCATGGTTGTTTGCTCCTTTTTTGTTCAATCCCTCTGGCTTTGATTGGCAAAAAACAGTGGATGATTGGTCAGATTGGAAGAGGTGGATGGGGAACCGTGGTGGTATTGGTATCCCACCTGACAAAAGTTGGGAATCTTGGTGGGATAAAGAAAATGAACACCTGAAATACTCGCATTTCAGGGGAAAAGTACTTGAGATAATTCTTGCATTTCGCTTCTTTGTGTACCAATATGGAATCATTTACCACCTGGATGTAGCTCATCACAGCAAAAGTTTGCTGGTACAAAACTCAATTATTTGTTCTTCAGTCATATCAATAACTGCTAGGTTTAAATGGCTCCATCTCACAACTTGGACTTTTCCTTACAGGTCTTTGGACTTTCTTGGATTATTTTGGTTGCTGTTCTTGTTGTTTTGAAGGTATGCAAATGCTATTCATAGATCAGAGCTAATTGCTTTCCATTGTCTGAGACCTCTAATCATAGTCTTCATGCAAAGTGGAGTAAAATTTGAAAGATGAGCGAGTTGGCTTGTTCATCGCCAAAAGATCGATTACACATCAATGTGATCCTTTAATCATTTTTTAACGTTACATGAATTTATAAGTTTCATTTTTATATCAAATAAGTCCTTTTATTGTTTTTTGCGTTATCCTATATCTTCCCATTTATGATATACTTCACAGTTATAGACAATGCCTCAACACGGAGATCATAAAGGGTTGTATCAAGAAATGTTAAATCTGATTTGATAGAATGAAGGAATATGTAAAACTGAGAATTTGTGTATTGAGGTGATGTAAAATGTGATTGAAGAACCAAACTGATTTGGGACATGATTATCCTTATAAGTCAAATTTAAGATGTAAAGTAGGGCCTTCTTTTTTAATCAGAGAAGCACTTAGAACTGCCATTATGCGTTTTGAGGTTTTCTTACTTGTCTAATACGTATTTGCATTTGGTCTGCTGTTATTTTCATAAATCCGATTTGGCTGTCAGATGGTATCCATGGGCAGACAAAGATTCGGCACAGACTTTCAGCTCATGTTTCGTGTTCTTAAGGCACTTCTCTTTCTTGGCTTCATGTCAGTAATGACTGTATTATTTGTGGTCTGTGGGCTCACCATGAATGATCTATTTGCTGCAATCCTTGCCTTCATGCCCTCTGGATGGGCTATTATTCTGGTGAGTTAAATCTATACATTACCCAAAGCACTATCTAAGAATATCTTATTGCTTTTTATGTTTAACTAGTTAATCTTCGATGTCTCCTGGGCCAATTGAAGTTTTATTGCTTTATATTGCATGTGCTTCCTGTGATCAAACCAAGCCAAGGGGCAATACCATTGCATGGGATATAGTTGTTCCTTTCCTGGGGAACGTCTGCCTTCTAGAAAGTAATTGGCTTCACCTCTGATGAAATAAAAATTACTGGAAGTTAAATATTAACTTTTTAACTGGTGTAGTGTGGACAGAACTTAGACAACAATGCATTTTTCTCAGAAGAAGCATTTCCAGGTCTGCATGCCACTTTTGTCCTTGAACCTTTTGACATGAAGTAACTATACACATATCTCTAAAATCTAAGGAATGAGTCACGCTATTTATAAATTGGAAATAATAACGCATGGTTTGTTATATTATGATTTAATTAAATATTCTCAAAACTTGGAAATAACTTTTCTGTTTTGCACTCCAAACCACTGAGGTGTGTTTTCTTGTTGAACTGTGAAGATTGCACAAGCATGCAGGGGATTGTTGAAGGAATCTGTAGTGTGGGATTCAGTGAAGGAGCTATCCAGAGCATATGAATACGTAATGGGATTCATCATCTTCATGCCTGTTGCTGTATTGTCATGGTTCCCATTTGTATCAGAGTTCCAAACAAGGTTGTTGTTCAATCAAGCATTCAGTAGAGGGCTACAGATTTCAATGATTCTTGCCGGAAAGAAGGAGAAGGACCCTGATAAATCAGCATGAGGTTGATTAGCTAGCTGAGTTTTTCACCCCCTTTTGCCAACAAGTTAGCTGAGTTAGTCTTCGGCTACTTATCTACTCTGTATGCATATATAAAGTCGAATCTTATCAATGCTCTGTAGAAAGTTATGTTTCATATGATAGAAGGATTATTTTTGGGAAAAAAATGAAGAGAAATGTAAGGTGGAATGAAAGAGAAAATAAGATAGAAATATGTAAAAAACAACGGTAGTACTATTGTGTATAGTAATCTTATCATATTTCTAATACTTGCTGCAAATTTTCCAATGTTAACACTATTCCATCATTTACCAAATGTAATTTTCAGGCATTGCCATGGTATTTCTACTCCCATTCCAACCATTTCTTAGTTGCTCTACATTTGGGTACTTTCGTCTTTTCCTACTCATCCTTGATTCTTAAGTAGTTAAATATACAGTAGAGTTAAGGTGTAAATTTATTCCAAAAGTTTTTACTAGGGCTATTCACGGGACGGATCGGGACCGGGATAGGCCCGTCCCGGTTCCGTCCCGGTGAACAGTAACGGGACAGAAAATCTGTCCCGTGTCCCGGTCCGTCCCGGGGCTGTCCCGGTCCCGGTCGGGACGGGACGGATCCGGGACGGGACCGGGACGTCCCGAATTAATTTTTTTTTTTAATTTTTTTTAATTTTTTTTAATTTTTTAAAAAAATCTGATTTTTTTTAATTATAATTTTTTGGGCTTAAACCTTATAAAAACATCTTTTTATTTTCTTTTTTATTTGTTTGGGCACTCTTAAACAAAAGCTCAAAATATTACATATAATAGTCATTAAAAACTTTAAACAAAAGCTTTTAACACAATAAAAACTTGCTAAAAATTCTAATCATCAATGATCCCAAATCATTAACAAATATAAAACTCTAAATAAATATTTCCATAGTTACATACAATAGTCTCAAATCTTAAAAAAATATGAAAAAAATGATATTATATAAATAGGATAAAAAATTAAAAAAATTTAAAAAAAAAAAAAAGAACCGGGACGGGACCGGGACGGGACGGCCCCGTCCCGTGTCCCGTCCCGTCCCGGTCCCCTTTCTTGTCCCGTCCCGGTTTGTCCCGTCCCGAAATATTTCGGGACGGATCCGTCCCGTCCCAATAAGACCGGGACCGGAACGGGCCGACCGGGACGGGCCGGCCTTGAACACCCCTAGTTTTTACCCTCCCCTGGAAATTTTTTTGGGTTCAATATTGTCCCAAAAATTTTAAATTATAGCAATTTTACATCCTATCGTTAAAAAACTAACATTGGTATTAAAGTATTAATATTAGCTATTAATATTTTTAACAGTATGGAGTAAAATTGTTAGGGATTTAAACTTTTTTCTAAGTGCCTGATATTCTTGAGTAAAAGTTTTCGAAATAAATTTATACCTAAACCCTGTATTAGACGGATTTAGTTTGCTTAGTTAACTTATTTTCGCAAGTTTCAATATTTGTGTTTCTGCCGTAACTCAATAATAAACCCACTAAAAGTGTTTCTAAACATAACATAACTGATTGAATTGAAATTGTACGCGTAATCTTTTTTAGGTGGGTGTTTTTCATTAACTCCTCTTTAAATTTTAATTGACTGAATAAAAATTGGATACATAATTTATTTTAATAAATAGATTGTAGGGATAAAGTGATTGTATTTCAGACCTAAAGAACACTATAAATATTTAAAAAATACTAACAACTAACAACTTTATTTTTTACATTATATAGGTGACGTCAAAAATAGATTAAAAATGATACATACATAATTTTTTTTTTTAAATCAAAGACGGAGTTCCTTACAAAAGGCCACCAGTACAAAGCAAGACCTAGTTTTCTCTCTCAACCTCCCCTACCACAATATGTGGCGGTTGATTTTGGATACAAAAGTTATTCTCCATGAAATGAGAGAGTTTAGCTAGATAATCAGCAGTAGGGATTGACTCTCTAAAAATACAAATTGGCACAACCTTCCTATCCCTGTGAAGTAAGAGTCTAACATCACCAACAATATCCTTGAAAGGATGTGTTTGTTCACATCCTGTACATAGCATAGACAAGGCTTCTACACTGTTAGTATATATCGCCATATTCTGGTAATCTATGTCCCAACAAAGGTGTAGACCATGAATTGTGCCAAGTAGCTCTGCAATCATTGGTTGCACAAAGGTATGTTTATAGCTGAATCCAACTAGCCATTGGTCATGATTGCTCTAAACAGCACCTCCACATCCATTTCTATCATCCTGCAAGATTGAACCATCTACTTTTAATTTAACGAAATCATCTCAAACTTGAGGTGTGAAGTCTTTTCCTGGACATAGACTAGAATAAAACTTGCAATTCATCATCAAGTCTTTATTTATATCATGTATGTTTTACCCGCAATCTTTATTGTTTTTTATTTTTTTTAAATACCACCCTCTGTTTTTTATACAAAACTTAGATGATTTATGAAAATTAAAAAAATTAGTTAAGTCATTTAGTTATAATAAATCGATATTTTCTTTTGCTAAAATATTCTTATTAATTATATAAATTAAAACTATTCTTGATGAAAATCTCATAGGGGTTACTTCGAAAAAAATAAATAAATATCGTCAATAAAATATATTGAAATATTATATTTAGAATAAAATTGAACTTCCAACTAGTTGGAAGTATAAGTTATCCACATTATTGTCAAACTCGTGAGTTGACTCTATAAGTTTAACATTTTTACATTTTTCACTTGCAAAATCATATCGATTTATTGTTAAACTCATGTTAGCTGTAAACTCATTTTGATTTATGAATTTACTAATCGAATTTACTATTTTTATATTTTTAATTTATAAAATCATGTCAATTTACTTTTAAACCCGTGCTAAATTTTTAGATTTAGTTATGTTTAGAACTTTATATATTCCATAGAATTTTCTTTGTTGGACATAATAAATTGTTAATGTTGATAGATTTAATTTCAATTATTTTAATTTAAAATATATTTAAATAAAATTGTTGTTATTTTTCATATTTTAATTATTTAATTATATATTTTTAATATTAATTTATTAATAAAGGTAAACTCTTATGAGTTTTTTATGATATGAGTTTACATCTCTATTATAAGTTTACTTAAACTCACGAGTTTAACATCGTTATCTATACAATTACAAAAGAAGTAAAAAAAATTTTATAGATTTTCAGTTTTTTTAAAAAAAATCCCAAAAAAATTATAATTATATTTTAAAATTTTAAATACATATTGGTTGCTGTACTTCTAAAAAATGACTACAGTCAAAAAATAAATAACAATATATTTTTAAAATAATTTTTTTAAAAAATTTTAAATTTTAACTGTTATTTTTTTTCAGATTTTTTTTTTCCGGGCAGTCACATTTTTTCCCCCTCTTTATTTCCTGTCATTGAATATTGATTTCTTGCTTTCGAGTGAAGGATGCCGGACGACTAAGCAGTAAGCACTGTTCCAAATTCCAATCCAAATTGAAATCTGAGAGGTAATCTACACAACGATGCTTCCTTCTATTTTCTGATATTTCTTTGTCGGAAATCTTCGAAAGCCCTCGTTATCTGGTTTTGAACTTTTGTAATTGTTGTTCAAGTTGTGTTGCCTTTAAGATTTTGCGATTGAAATGGAGTTCATAAAGGGCATTGCAATCCAATTTTTGTCTACTTGGAAGCAAGTTTGCTGCTTTGGATTGTCGGCAAGTTTCTTCTTCCCCTTGTTTTGTGGTGTTTATTTTTCCTTTCATCAAAAATATCAAATTTCACTAAAATTTCTGGTGAATATATTTCGTTATTGTTCTATAAAACTGGTTAAACCCTTGATTCTTATATTATCTTCCAACACTCTGTCATCGAGCTATATTTGCTTTCGTTTTCCGCTTTACTTTCCTAGTCAAGGAGCAAAACCTTTTGCTTTCGTATTGTTGCAATTGTGCTGGTGTTTTTTTTTTTTTTCTTTAAACAATTTTATTTCTATTTCTTAATCATGCTTTCTTGAACAAGTTTTAATATCCTTGTTAGAAGTGATCAAGTTATTAAAATGATAATTGAATATTTTATTTTACATTAAAACAGTTCAAATAGTTGCTATCTGGGTAATAGGATTAGGGAGGCCCCTGGCAGATGCAAAGAGGATGAGGGAAAGAAAGTTGTTTGAGTTTGGTACTGCTTTCTCCTCAACAATTTGGCAAAGCAGAACCATCAAACCGAGTCATTTCGTATGTTGTATTCTTATATTTGTTTATGACAACAATATCTTCGCTCTTTACTTTTGTTAGATAACTTTCTCGATTTTGTCCATTGCAGCAGCCCTCCTGAGTGCATATTCATGATGATATTGTTATTAGTGGGAACTTCTATAAATTTCTTACTGCGCCAACAACCTTTTGAAAATTTGAACATGCTGTATCTTTTATTAATAATAAAGTCTTGTGTAATCTTCACGAAAATATTATTTCAAATTTTAATGTTCCAGGTCTGAGTTGAACCGTGTCTGTTCATATTAAGAACTGCGACAATGGTATTGATAAGCGGCAATAACAAAAGGTAAGCTTCAAAATCCCCTAGCACCTATGCATTCTTTAAATATTGGTAGTTTTATTTATATCAGGAATGTGTTCATTAACTAACTCTTAATGGGTTGTATTAATCTCCTTTTCTTGTGTCTGATTTTTCTCACTCTGTTTTCTTCTTAAATCTGGCGTTTTTCTGTTATAAGAGGATTTATGTGATCTTCGTATTCTGTTTTTCCATTTTGATCGTAATAATGTCTTTTCTTATTCCAACCAATAGGAAAAGGACTGTTTCCTCTGTGGGAGTTGTATATTGTTTGTAATGTCTTTTATTAAATCAATTGTCACATGTCTCTTGAAAGTCCCAGAAAGCATAGGAAATAATATAAGATGACGTTAAAAAAAATTACGAAATATGCATTAGAAGTTACCTGGAAATTTAGCTATCTGGCATGAATACATCAGAACTTAGCAGTAAACGTCTTTCGGTGGAAGGGTGAACCATTTGCAGCCCCAAAAATAGCTTCATTGGTGTCTTTAGAGCGAGGTGGAGGAAGAAAAGATGATGGCTGCAGGGAAGGGAAATGGTACCTATGTGTAGTCACATTGTCGGTGCATGTATGGGTGCGTGCATGTGTCTCAATACATAATTGTATGACTCTAGAGGATTTGATTTAAAGAACTTCATTAGCGGACGTCATTTTACAATTACACATGAGCTCTGTACATACTATGCCTTTCTCTTTCCAAATTTGAAATTTCCTTTGAAAATGAGGGGAACCAAATCTCAATGGAACATCCATACTAATCAAACTTTTAATGGTGGCTGTTCTTCAATTGCAGTATTTTACAACACCCAAATGATGCGAGGTCAAAGGCATCGGGTGTAACGGTGTTTCACAATCCCCATCATCAACAAGGAAGCAAGAACATTGAAACCAGGCCATCCCACAACGTGGTCAGCTCAAACTTGACCAAAGGAATGACAGCATTAGATGAATTCAAGTATGGTTTTCCGTCGGAAGGCCTTTCGACTACTTCAAACAAATGGTGGGGAAGCAGTGGTCCTGATGATTCTGTTGGCAAGAAGGCAGATGGACCTGATGTCGGCAAGCATGGGAAGGATCGAATCGAGGGGACGGAAAAGGAAGAAGCCGATACAGAGATGTCTGAAGCAGGAAAAGAAGCCATGAAAACTCCTGAAGGAGCTGCTTTATTGGCAGACATAAGGAAAAGAGCTGTGGAAGAAGGCCGAGAAACACTTAGACTAGGTGTTTTTCGAGGCTGTGGTGTGAAAAAGATTGGAAAAAGAGAGAAAATTATGCTTCTCCAAATATTCAGTTCTTCATTGCCAAGTTCATGGATACATGATTCATCATAAGTTAGGGTGAGTCTGCAACTGTAAAAACTCAACTTGGAATCATTCCAATCCAAATCTGAGAGTTCCTCCTTGCTTCTGCCTTCTAAATGCCATAACCATCCTAATTCGACTTTGTTATGGTTAAAATCAATGGATAAGTCGGATTACTATATCCACGTAATGTGAGTGAAGGGTTTATTGTAATGCTACTTAGATGTTTGCTTTATTATAAGTAATACTACTTTCATTCTAATTATAAAACCTCATTTGTAATCTACAAACAAGATCTTATAATTAAAATTGGATCTTATAATTAGAATCGGAGGTAGTAATATTTAATTATCCATAACAGTTGTGGGGCACACCCGAGAGATAGGAGTTTTTTTTTTTTTGCCAAAGTATCTTTTAATATGAGGTAATTCTATTTGAGATACTATCGTATACTAAATGTGAATACTTCTTTTAAGGGGAATTCAAATTTTGGTTCATTATGTTTTAGGAGGTTAGTCTTTTCTGTTAAATCCAACTCCTGTAGATTGGAGACGGTAGAATTGAATCTGACTGGATTGGGATTAAATGTTACTCCGCTAAGATTCCAAAATACGAGTTGGCCCATTTACAAAATGAGTGGGGTTGGGTTAAGCTTTGGTGTTCTATTTGGGCCAACGCACCAACACACATTTTGTTTTTCTGAAAAAAATTCAAATCTTAAATATGATTCATAGGCTGTATGATCTAGTTTAAGCCCATATATTACACGATCCAATGATTTAATCTAAATTTTCTTCTCAAACATTTGATGCTTTCGAAAGCTAGAATTTTAATACTCCTTTGGTATAAAATAGAGAAAGGTTTTTCTTGATTGTATTTATAAGTCATATTATTAAATTTTTAATATGAATTTATTATTTTGTTGCTTATTTACTCCCTCCTGTTCTAATTATAAGATCTTGTTCTACGAACGAGATCTTATAATTAGAACCGGAGGTAATATTATAATGTATACTGTTATTTTTTTAAAATACGTATATTAAATAAAAACAAAATTAATATATTACTCCTCCGGTCTTTATTATAAGATCCAATTTGACTTTTTATTTGGTCCTAATTATAAGACCCAATCCATTTTCTCTTTTATATTTATGCATTTTTTTCCAAAATAATCCTTCTAATAATGATAGTTTTAGCCAATATACTTAATTAGCAAGGATATTTTAGGAATAACAACACTTATTTATTATAAATAACCAACTTAACTTACTTCCTTAATCTCCTCAAATAAATTAATTGGGTCTTATAATTAGAATCGGAGGAGTATAATGTTGTAAGACCGAGGTAGTACAATTTGAGAACACTGTGAAAATGTGTAACAACTAGAAGCGGGTGCTTTTGAAACGAAAGGGTGAGTGCGTATAGTGGTGACGTGGCGAAGGGGTCATTTTCCAAGGGAGAGGCGGGAGGTGGGGTACGTGTTGATATTTGGGACCAACCGCGGTTTTGTTTGGTATTGAAAAGCTGAGGCAATAACCGTGGCACTAACTCCGCAACCCTACCCTTTTTCTCTCCCTCCCTCATCATGCCCCACACGGACCCCCACAAACAAACAAACATAACTCATTATTAATTAACATATTGATATGGTCCTTGATCTATGATATATAAACTTGGTTAACTTTTTTTAAGCATAAAAAAAAAAATTTAGTCATTAATTTTGTCCTAGAATGATAAAATTTTTACATTTTATCCTTAAAAATGACAAAATTACCTTTAATACTACCTCCTGTCCTAATTATAAGAGCCAGTTAACTAATTTGAAAAAAAATTAAGGAAAGAAGTTAAGTTAGTTATTTGTAATAAATAAGTGTTGTCTTTTCTAAAATATCCTTACTAATCAAGTATATTGACTAAAATTATAATCATTAGAAGGACTATCTTGGAAAAAATTGAGTACATGTGAGAGACAAAATGAATTGGGGTTTTATATTTAGGACTAACATAAAAATCAAACGGGATTTTATATTAAGGACCAGAGGTAGTATCATGTTTTTATTATTGCTCATCTCTTTCTTCTATCTCTTATATTAATACGAGCAAAAATTTAAAAAAAAAAAATCACATTGATCATCCTGACAACTTCTTATATTTTGAACTATAATTTTTTTCTAACCAACACATTATGAACTAAAGGGAGCAGGTTCTAGCATTCTAGTATTATTTATCATGTGCATTTAATATTCTTATTTTATTTATAATATATACAACATTCTAATTTTATTTTTTTTGTACATCCAGTACTTTGAATATTAACATATTAAATGTAACTAAAAATATAATATCAAAATAATAAATAAATCAAGAAAATAATATCAGAATACTAAATGTGAATAATCACTTGGTGTTAATTACGTCTCTGCTTTTTGTACATACAGCCTATCACCTCTTATCAAATGAATGGTCTGGTAAAACATTCAGACCGCGGGCGAGGTGGCCGGTTCGCTGCTGGATGTCGTGAGAAGTCTACAGAAGCTTATCATTTGGAGTAAAATCAGCCACATCATCCTCATATTCGCCGGTCCTATTAGGCGTGCTCTCGCACGTGCCTTACGGCGGTCAAATGACGGTGCCCCTCTTCCCCCGACATCTTTCTCACTTTTCTTTCTCACCTCCCTCCTTTTTCCCTTTTCAATTCCCTCTTTCTTCATTTTCCAAAAATTTTATTATTCATTCTTCAACGGCCGGTCTCTATGTCTCTGCGTGCACGACTCCTCTACAATATACTACTCTGGTCCTTGATAGTTTGGTACAGAGCATTGAAAATAAAGGATTGAAATTGAAATCGCAATTGAGAAAAATCAATAAAATAGTTTTAATATGAGTAATTACTTGTTATATAGGATTAGACAAATCTATAGAGGTGAGATTGGAGAATATTACTTTTTCTCATAGTATTTTCTAATTCTATATACATGGATTTGGTTAATCTCTTACAACAAATAATTTCTTATGATATATTCTTTTAATAGATTTTCTTAATTCCAGTTTCAATCCCTACTCCTAATTTTCAATACTTTTTACCAAACATAACCTAAGATGTTGTCTGATTTTTATTTTAATCTTAATTATAAGACCACAATTCACTTTGTCTCTCATATTTATATTTTTTTCCAAGATAGTCCCTCCAATAATGATAGTTCTAGCTAATAAACTTGATTAGTAAGGATGTTTTAGGGAAGACAACACATATTTATTATAAATAACTAACTTAATTTATTTTCTTAATCTCCTCAAATTAGTTAACTAACTTTTATAATTAGGATCAGAGATAGTATGTGTGTGTATATAAAACATCATCCCAAGATGATACATGTTGCGTAAATAAAAGTAGGTTAAGATTTGTCTAATACCCTAATATCATCCCAATATATCAAAACAAACTAATTAATGGGTGCACAAAACCTTAAAACAAGCACATTTTTTAACTACGCAATTTAATTTGTTGTAAAGTATATTTACAGTCATATTTTATTTTGTTATTGAATGGTTATATAAGTGTCTTTTTTTTTAAGTATACTTGTCACATTTTGATTAACAAATTTTCCAATAAAATAAAAAATTATATACAAGGCTTTGTATGTGTGCAGAAATTTTTATTTAATTTGATTGAAATATAAATACTATATCCTTAGATTTTTATATATAACATAATACAATTTTTATTTTTCTCAGAATATCCTTCATAAAAATATGTAAAAGTGGTCATTATAATATTTATTTACTAATTAATTAAAAAATATCTCAATATAAATTAAAATTAATCTAGGGTAGTGAAATCGAGGAATATAATATATATATATACATATATTAGAAATATATAATATACATCCATAAATATAACTGACTTTATTTTAAAATTACAAATGATGCGTAGTACAATGATTTCGTAATACTTATTTGTGTCTATGTTATTTTAGAACATGCATTGGTTTCCAATGGTCTTGTGACTTAGTAGTATGAAAAAAAAATTTGTGAGTAAGAAATTATGTATGGATTGGATCATATTTGTAATTTCAAGATACTTTTCTTCCATTAAATATAAGAATACATATTGTTTATAAATTTGAAAAATATTATGCATTTTAAGTTTAATGTAATAAAAAGACCTAATAATTTTATCAACCAAAATAAAGTAGAACCACTTCCTAGGTCAAAAATATCAAAAATAATTGTAAAATATCTGCGGCAGCCGTAATTGGTCAATAATGGATCTGGCCATTTTGAGCCTCACATTCACTTGTCATAAAAGTTATTAATTCATAAGATTCTTCAATTATTAGGGAAAAAGATTTGTCAGAAAATTACAGTTACAGAAAAATTATTCATAATGCCAAAAATAAACTTATTTAATTAATCTGCAGGTTCATTATTGTCATTTTAAAGTTGGACATAAATTATTTTCCCTAATTTTACACTTGCTGGTTAACATAAATATTTCATTATATTATGCCGAACCAATTGAATATTTAATATAAAAATAATCATATGCAGTACAGTTAAAACTATATGAAGAGAAACCTAAAAAATTAATAAATAATATTCAATATTTACTAATTTTTCTGAGATTATTAAAATATAAAGCAAAATTAGAAAAACAGCTGAATCTGAATACATGACCTGCCTTCCATATACAATGGGCCCAATGCTTTGTCATGTATCATAATTAATATCTTAATACAAATTGTGTTTGTGTACCTAAGGCTATATTTATTTTTAATTTTTCGTACAAATTGATACTAAGAAATATATATTTTTAATGCTTTGAAAAAACTTCCAGCCGATTGAAGGCGCCTTTATTGAAATTCAAAAATATTTTTAACCAATTTTATGACAGCTCAATCTACAAAGTAATAATAAACAAACATGCAAATATTTAACGAATATTCTTTTTTTTTCATAGAACAAATATTCAAATGTTAATTATCTGCACCAGTTTAAAATTTTTTATGAATTTACAGTGACATGTAACTAGTAAAAGGACATACTCCTTCATATCCTACATGAAATATTGAAAAAAAAATTACATTATTTTTTTTTGTGTCAATGTTTTCAAAACGATCATTTGAAATTGAAATTTAAGATTAAAATAAGGAACAAAAAATAATTTACCGTAGATGTTATTTCCCTTGACATCTTTGATTAGACGTCGCTATCGATATCAGCTAAATATGCAATTAGTCTTCCAACCAATTGACAAATAATTCTTTAACCAATGGCGTGACAAATACAAAATCAACTAAATCACGCTTCAAGCTAAGCAGAAACACCACAAAATATTCCATTTCTTTCCCCTTTTAAAATATGAGTAGTAATTAAACAACAGGTAGAAATACACTTTTCTCCTTTGACTTCGTTCAAATTTCATTCCGGTCCCTTAATTTTGCAGAGAGTATTTTTTTCCGTCTCATAATTAACCAAAAAAAAAATATTGATACTGAGATTTTAAATATTACTACATTCTGCCTTAATATAAATCTCATTTGAATTTTATTTTATTATTAAATATAAAACTCCGATTTTCTTTATTTCTGATATTTATCTATTTCTTACCAAGATAGTCATTGTAATAAAAATTAGTTTGGGCCAATACACTTAATTAACAGGTATATTTTAGAAAAGATAGCACTTATTTATTACAAATAACTAATTTAAATAATTTTGTTAATTCACTTAAATTAGTCAACTAGTTTTTATATTAAGGACCGGAAGTAGTAATAAAATATTCTCAAAATTGTTGGTTGATTAACTTTTAACTTGTTAGAATTAAATGAATTAAAAGATATTTTATAAAATTAAGGGATGAAATTAAAACTTTTGTATTTATTTAACAAAAAGTTCAAATCATATATATACATGTATAAAAGGCGCTGTTCATTTACCTCCCCAAACTCAAGAGTGTGAAAGTAGAAAGAAAAAGCCAACGAAGTTGTATGCACCAAAAGCCTCCTTTCCCATAACAACCAAACAAAGTCTTGCCTGAAATTTCTCTCAAAACTCTCCATATCTTTCTGCTCCTTCTTCTTCTTCCTCCCTCCTCCTCCTCCTCCTCCTCCTCCTCTTCTCCTTCTTCTTCCATGGCGAATGAGAAGGATCATTATTACGATCAGTATGATCTTAACAATTTCTATTACAACCACCACCAGAACCTTGTTCAAGGGTTTGATCATCCTTCCTCACACGGTAGTACGAGCTTCACAGATTGCTTGAATGGTGGATTCATGGACTATAATACTCTCTCAAGAGCCTTTGACTTGTCTTGCTCATCAGCATCTGAAGTGATCTCGCCCTCCATTAACGATGAGCTCAATCCAAAGAAGCCAGCTGTAGTCACTAGTCCGACGACCACTGTAGGAGATTCTCAAGTGGGGCTCAATTCCTCTGTGTCCAATTCGTCTTCTAATAATGAAGCAGAAGAAGCTGTGGTAACAGAAGAAGACTCAGCCACCAAAAGCGTCAAGAAAGAGAAGGACCAAGATGCAGAAGAAATGTCTAAGAAAGAGTAAGTTCCTTTGCTTCTTCTTCTTCCTCCTCCTCTTCTTTTCCTTCCATTTGCTGAGATGTTTTCGCCTGATCCATCTTCGATATTTGATGAGTAGGATCTGATTTGTTCAATGTATATACCTTCCATATCAGTTCTCTGTGGGAATTGTACTTCTGATTTTTCTTTGAATAGTTAAGTTTTCGGATAAAGTATATGCCAATCAACTCAAACCTATATCAGTATTAGCCTTTTCATCCACAGATTTATGATTTTCAGTGCCTCAGTGAAATGGGTTTTTTTTTTTTTTTTTCCAGTTTTTGCATATCTTAGTACTTGTATATGTGAATGCTATAAGCATCTATACTGATTTAAAACTATGCAACCAAATTAAAGTGTTGTAACATGGAAATAATGGCACTGAACCCTAATAACTTCTCTATCTCAGTATTAATTTGTGTTGTTGAAGTGATTTGTGTGAAACTGTGTGGATTCTTGTTATGAAATTGGTGTGAAATTGTCAGGAACAAGCCAAAGGGAGGGAATAAGAAAGAGAAAAAGCCAAGAGAGCCGCGTTTTGCGTTCTTGACTAAAAGTGAGGTCGATCACTTAGAAGATGGATACAGGTGGAGGAAATATGGGCAGAAAGCCGTCAAGAACAGTCCTTACCCAAGGTTAAATATTTATTCATTAATACTCACAAATTATTATTATTATTATTATTATTATTATTATTATTATTTTCCCCATATTATTTATATCCTCTTGCTAATTTTAAAACCAAAATGATTAATTAAACTGTGCAATATATATGGGGTTCCAAATTTGATGCAATAATTCAGTCCTAGCTAGTATAAGCAGGCAACACTTTAATTATTTCCAAGTACTTGGTGTGAAAACTGTTTTGCTTATGATCATATCAAAATAGTTTCATACAGATTCCTCTCAACCGTTTCATATCATTATATTCATTGCACCTGATTATATATATCATCATATATAGTTTTTCTTTCAAAAGATTCTTGCATTTTCATATTGCTTGAGAACTACTAAATTCCTTTTTTATGTTATCAAAAGTATACTCTTGTGCATCATTCAGAAGTTTACTTTCAAAGAAATCAAATCCGTGTAATTAGAAAGTGATTGGTACTTTTTCACTTCATAACATATGATGAATACCATATTGCAGGAGTTATTACAGATGCACAAGTCAAAAGTGCAATGTGAAGAAGAGGGTGGAGAGGTCATTCCAGGATCCATCAATTGTGGTCACAACATATGAAGGACAGCACAACCACCATTGTCCGGCAACACTTCGCGGCAGCGCCAACGCTGCCATGATGTTATCATCGGCGGCGGCAGCACCGCCATCCCTTTTTGGTTCTTCACAGCTGGGAAGAACAGCCATGTTTCCCCAGGAACTTCTTTCTCAGTTTCTTCCAAGTTACCAGGGCGATGATCATCATCATCCTCATCACCACCAAAACCATCCCATGTTCCACCAAAACCCTAATAATAACACTCATCTTCACCAGCAGCAAGTCCCTCACGACCATGGCTTGTTGCACGACCTGTTACCTCCTTCTTCTTCATCCTTCCCTGGTAGACAGCCATGAATATATATATATTTAGATATATCCATGGAAGAAAACCCTATTACTATATCTTGTACTGATCAACTGTCGCTGTACTGATGCGAAAGATGAACTAAGCGGATCGATCATGACTAGATGTAGACCGCCTTAGCATAATGAAGGTACCTGAAACCATTATTGACTCTCTCTCTCTCTATGAAGAGTTCTATATGCTTCTCATCAGGACACTGATTTCACTATTAAACGCATTGTGAAATTCTGAGATCAGTTCTGGGTTCTGATTTTCCTACGATGGATGAAAATTGAACCCCTGAGAAGTAAGAGATCTAGTTTACCGCTGAAGAAAATGTTTATTTGAAATACACATATATTACATTATTACATGTACGTCTCTATATATCCACTGACTGGATCTATATATTTCTTTATTTTCCGTAGTCTGCCTGATTAGAACATCTCATTCCTTTTGCATTATCCATTTACATACACAGTATTGCGTCTTGCACTGTATATATATATACACACACAGTTTTTATCAATTGCGATTACTTATTAGGTTCAGAACAAATCGAATTTAATTTTCTTCTTTGTAAGGACTGCGCATATAAATGTTTTTGTGTAGAAAATACTATATATAGTACGTAGTCTCTTTTTCCTATGAATATACACACACCAATACATAATTACCAACGGCCATGACTCTAAACTCTCAATTTCAGAGCCATGTGTACTTGGACTTCGACTATGCAATTGAAAGAAGTTGGTGCTCACTAATAATAACAACAATAATAATAATGGAGTACCACCACCACCAACACTATAAAGTACAAAATTATTTAAAAGTTGGTATAATTCATAAATGTTCAGCTTTGACAAGGCCATATATATTGTAACACTTACGATATATATATAAATTCATAGGTAGCTGGCTGGGTGGCCGGGTGGTGGGGGAAAGTAGGGTTTTGGATATTGATATTAACGATTTAACGTGTATATTATGGTGAGTTATTAATTACTAGATAGTATTTATTATATATGTGGGTGTTGGATCTTTTGCGTACAAAAATGAAAATGGATTTTATTTGAATGGTGAAATAATGGAGTTCCGTACAATATGTGAGAGAGAGTTTGAAGAAATTCAATGCATGTGTGTGGGTTTTGAGCGTTTGCGTGTTGATGTTGATCTCCTTTTGATGGCAGCAACGCCTAAAGTTTTGGTTCGATTTGTGGATGCATACCTAACTTCACTTCCATTATTGATTTTCATATCTGTGTGTATGTATATGTATATATTGATTTGCTCCATCCCCATCATATATATATATATATATATATATAAAGAAAATTTTATAACGATTAGACTATTCACAAGTCGCATATAACAGTATTTATGATGGATTTTATTTAACAGAAAGTGTACATTTGATTATCTATAATATTATATAATGTTTCGTTTCCGCCCTTAATTTTATAAAGTATTCTCCAGTTTTGAATATAAGAATTATACCAAAAAAATTATTTTGATTCTAACTATAAGACCTCAATTTATTTTGTTTTATATATTTATAATTTTTGGCCAAAGCTAAGTTTCCTTTCTAATTGCACATATGAAGACAGTTTTTATTATGGATAGTTCTAATGTATATGATTAAAAAAGATATTTAAGAAAACATAACACATATTTATTACAAATAAATTATTTAACTAATTTTCTTAGTATTCACACAAATTAATTATGCAATCCTAATATTATCAACGGAAGGTGGTATCTTTTTCATTCCTTTCGTAAAAATTGATATGAAGATTTAAGAATATCAATAAAAAAAAATGGTTGATATAAAGAGTGTCAATTGCTTATTGGGGGTTTATATATTTGTACTTATTTACTAAAAACTTGAACTATGGAATATATAAAATATTAATATATAATTATAATCAGTCGTTTTCATAAATATCATATGCCTAATTTCATAATCTAATGATTGGACCTAATTCATTTACCTCAAATTATATCCTATTAATTAATCAACTTTGATTCTCTGGCCGAAAAAAATCTACTCAATTTTGATTGATTATGGATTTTATAAACTTCTTATCAATAGCATGCTTCAATCGAATATTCCAACTATGCCTCACCAAAATTTGGAATGGTTCTGAAGTTAATTAACAATGTTAAAATTTATATATTTCTCACATTCCAAGTTTATTATAAAATAATCTTATATTTTTTTTCGTAAAGTGTCTTGAAAATCCAACACCAGAAGTACTCCCAACCTTTTTTATTTTTTGGGCCAAAGAAATACTCCCAGCCATTTGAATTTAAAAACGTTGCTCAATTGTACCCAAAAAAAAAAAAAAACACGTTGCTCAATTTGGATCACAATTTTGATACAAATAGTCCATTAATAGAATTTAGTAATTTTTTATATCGGTGTCAAAATCAAATAGCTAAGCATATTTGACTGATTTGAAATTTGATACAATTCTCATTTATGGGGACGCAAGCTGGCCTAAACTAATAATCTAGCAAAATATTTGATATCTATAAATAATTAATCTAAGTTCAATGTATTATAAATTAATTAATAATTAATGTTCTCTTTGAGATTTGGATATCAACTAGAAAAGTACTTTTCTATTTTTCACAAAAGTATTCAAATGAAACCAAAAAGAAAAGTACCTCATTCTATATAATAGCATCCTGTACTCAAAAATTAATATCAGCTATATGAATGATAAATTAAGCATGTCTATATGAATGACGTAAAGAAATATTTTAGTTTTTATATATTATATTGATTAATTCATTGATTCATCATAAAAATACAGCAATAGTTATAAGAGTTGGCTTCATTGAAATCATCATAACTTTATTCATATTTGGATATGATGCTCTAAGGTTTCAGCTTTTAAAATGATGTTATATAATATATTCAACATCTACATATTTTCTTCCAAAATAGAATAAAAATAAATCAGCAAATATTTTTATCTATGATTAATAATTGCAAGGTTAACTAATTGAAATCTTATACCCTTACTTAGAAAAAAGAGAAAGATGATGGAGAACTGAGAATGGTCTATAAATGTAGATCGAGAAAAAACTTTCACAAAGATAAATTTGGAAATTTTTGTCAATATAAGGCATTTATTAGTATGCACTATCATAGTATGTGAGAATAAAATTACAGTGAATTGGCTCATAAATGATAAGATTATAAGTTCGAATCCTGTTGCTAATGTGAGAACCATATTAGTAGGTAATTTTTGAACTTAGAAACATGTTTTGGCCTTGATTCCCAAAACCCAAATCACTTAAATTTTTCATTAAAAATAATAAATTACAAATGACTTATAATAAAAATAGCAATGATATAAAATTAGAGGGACAGTTGCATCCTTATTCATATTTCTAACTCCCATACTTTTCAGACTATATAGTATTCTGACGTAACTGACGACTAACCAGATAGATACTTATGAAATTGCAATAATCCTTTTTTAATTAAGCTCAGAATTAGGTGCAAATCATTACGAGACCAATTTACTATGACCATAATCAGCGGAACTAACAAAGCGTTAATCATAATTATTTAGTTGAACATAACATTCTGGGCGGTCAAAACTCAGCACTATATGGTTTTTTCCCCCCACATTTTTCAAAGGATTAATTTCTTTTTAACCTTTTCTCTCCACTTTTTTATTGTAATTCTAAGTACTATTCAAATTATATCATGGAAATGCAAGCATTCACTTTTGAAAAATTATCAAATTCAAACCACCGAATTTAATTGCATCGTTCACTAACACAATGAACAATCTAGTTACTTAATATTCCTCCAGTCTTTAATATAGAACCTAATTGTTAAGTTAATCTTGATCCTAAATATAAGATATACTTCTCATATTTATCAATTTTCGTAGATACCGATATGGATACTTCCTTAATTATAATTAAGTAAGTGAGGAGTAATAATATTAAGAAAGATAATTATGGTGTTTTAGGAAAAACATGTCATATTTTTTATAATTAACTAACTTACCTAACTTCTTAATCTAATCAAATTAGTTAAATAGATCTTATATTAAGATCAGGAGTACATGTTTTGACATTATTATAAAAAAAAAAAAGGTTTCCAACGGCTTTGAATCTAATAGAATGGGCTAATTCTTCACAAGGTTTGGATTTTAATTAAAAGAAATACAACCAACAACATTCTAGTCGCACTAGGAAAGCAAAACATTGAAGTGCAAAATCAAATTTAGTCAAAATAATTACTAAACAAGCATTCGATTAAATATTAGGTTTGCAAAATTAGATGTATGCCACCAAACTGATATTCAAACATGCCCTAAATTAATTAGTAGAGTAATTAAAGGAAGCTTTCTTTATGTTTTTAGTTAGCTTAATTATGAGAAAAGGTATCCTTAGGCTGTGTGTATTTATTATTGCTAGGCTGAGTGTACTTGTATACTAATTTTTTTTATTAGCTGAAACAAGTGAGTTGAGGCCAAATTCAAGAAATGTTCAGTTGCAACTATAATTATTACACTGAAAAAATCTTTAGTATTATTGTGGAGAATTGACATGTAATAGGGTTGAATCAAGACAAATTTCTCTATCTAATCTTTTTATCCTCTCTTCATCTCTCTTATTTACTTAATCTTCACGCTAATTATTTTGTCTTTTAATTAGGTGATCGCATTAACGATATGTCAACTATTGGTGATTCTATGATTTAATTTACGGTTACACACACACACACACACACAGAGTCTCTTGAGTTAATATTTCGTAATAATATACAAGAGCAAACTTTTATACTCTTTTAACTTTATACAAGACTTTTGGTCATTTAATTTTATATGGTCTTTCCAATTGTCTAATCATAATATCATTATTTTCATTATTAATACTGAAATTTAAACGTTGATAAAATTATGTTATCAAATATTTATATATTGAGTCTAATGTTTAAAATAACAATGAGCGTCACATGAAATCATGATTCGAGATTAATGGTATTAGGATTAAAAGACTGAAAATATACTTTATAAAATTAAGATAAGAAATAAAAAGTTTGTATAAAATTAAATGATTAAAAAGGAAATTTTAATTTGACCATAATAGTATCAAAATTCTCTTCTGGCCATGGCTTTCAATGAATTAACTTTACCCTTGTTGACCAGGAAGTCTAAAACAGTTTGCTTGTCTCGTGGGCTCCTTTTAATTTTGTTCTATGGAATTTATTTATTGTTATAATCATTTCCAATTTGAAACCAAAAGCAGTCAATTAATTACGTTAATTGCCGACCTCTAAAGTCAATATTATTGTATGGAATGTCACTATCATTATCATCCATATCGTCTCAGCAATTGAGCAGAATTTTGAATTCAGTAAGCTTCCAAAAAAAATGCGTTTGACTTCATGCCT